CACACGCACACACTCTCCCACACTCTCCCACACTCTCTCACACTCTCCCACACTCTCACACACTATCTCACACTCTCTCACACACTCTCTAACACTCTCACACACTCTCACACACTCTCACACTCTCTCAGACACACAACACTCTCTCACACACACTCTCACACACTCTCACACACGCACACACTCTCTCACACTCTCCCACACTCTCACACTTTCCCACACTCTCACACTCTCCCACACTCTCTCACACACTCTCTAACACTCTCTCACACACGCACACACTCTCTCACACACAAACTCTCTCACACTCTCACACACGCACACACTCTCTCACACACGCACACACTCTCTCACACTCTCACACACGCACACACTCTCACACACTCTCTCACACACTCTCCCACACTCTCACACACGCACACACTCTCTCACACTCTCTAACACTCTCTCACAACTCTCTCACACACGCACACACTCTCTCACACTCTCACACACGCACACACGCTCACACACACTCTCTCTCTCACACACTCTCCCACACTCTCACACACACGCACACACTCTCACACACGCACACACTCTCTCAGACACACACACTCTCACACACACACTCTCTAACACTCTCTCACACACTCTCTCACACACTCTCTAACACTCTCTCACACACGCACACACTCTCACACACTCTCTCATACACTCTCTAACACTCTCTCACACACTATCCCACACTCTCACACACACGCACACACTCTCACACACGCACACACTCTCTCACACACGCACACACTCTCTCACACACGCACACACTCTCTCACACTCTCTCACACTCTCCCACACTCTCTCACACTCTCTCACACTCTCGCACACTCTCTCACACTCTCCCACACTCTCCCACACTCTCTCACACTCTCCCACACTCTCTTACACACGCACACACTCTCTCACACACTCTCACACTCTCCCACACTCTCTCACACTCTCCCACACTCTCTCACACTCTTCCACACTCTCTCACACTCTCACACACTCTCTCTCACTCTCTCACACTCTCTCACACTCTCCCACACTCCCACACTCTCTCACACTCTCCCACACTCTCTCACACTCTCCCACACTCTCCCACACTCTCTCACACTCTCCCACACTCTCTTACACACACACTCTCTAACACTCTCACACTCTCTCACACACGCACACACTCTCACACACTCTCTAACACTCTCTCACACACGCACACACTCTCTCACACACGCACACACTCTCTCACACTCTCTCACACTCTCCCACACTCTCTCACACTCTCTCACACTCTCGCACACTCTCTCACACTCTCCCACACTCTCTCACACTCTCCCACACTCTCTCACACTCTCCCACACTCTCCCACACTCTCCCACACTCTCTCACACTCTCCCACACTCTCTTACACACGCACACACTCTCTCACACACTCTCACACTCTCCCACACTCTCTCACACTCTCCCACACTCTCTCACACTCTTCCACACTCTCTCACACTCTCACACACTCTCTCTCACTCTCTCACACTCTCTCACACTCTCCCACACTCCCACACTCTCTCACACTCTCCCACACTCTCTCACACTCTCCCACACTCTCCCACACTCTCTCACACTCTCCCACACTCTCTTACACACGCACACACTCTCTCACACACGCACACACTCTCCCACACTCTCTCACACTCTCCCACACTCTCTCACACTCTCCCACACTCTCTCACACTCTCTCACACTCTCACACTCTCCCACATTCTCTCACACTCTCCCACACTCTCTTACACACTCTCTCACACACGCACACTCTCTCACACACGCACACACTCTCTAACACTCTCACACACGCACACACTCTCTCACACTCTCTAACACTCTCTCACACACGCACACACTCTCTAACACTCTCTCACACACGCACACACTCTCACACACTCTCACACACTCTCTAACACTCTCTAACACTCTCTCACACACGCACACACTCTCTAACACTCTCTCACATACGCACACACTCTCTCACACTCTCTCACACTCTCTAACACTCTCTCACACACTCTCACACACGCACACACTCTCTTACACACTCTCTAACACACTCTCACACACGCACACACTCTCTCACACACGCACACTCTCTCACACACACGCACACACTCTCTCACACTCTTACACACTTTCACAATATCCCACACTATCTCATACTCTCACACTCTCTCACACTCTCTCACACTCTCACACTCTCCCACACTCTCTCACACTCTCCCACACTCTCTCACACACTCTCTCACACACGCACACTCTCTCACACACGCACACACTCTCTAACACTCTCACACACGCACACACTCTCTCACACTCTCTCACACTCTCTAACACTCTCTCACACTCTCTCACACACGCACACACTCTCTTACACACTCTCAAACACTCTCTCACACACGCACACACTCTCTCACACACTCTCTCACACACTCTCTAACACTCTCTCACACACGCACACACTCTCTAACACTCTCTCACACACGCACACACTCTCTCACACTCTCTCACACTCTCTAACACTCTCTCACACTCTCTCACACACGCACACACTCTCTTACACACTCTCAAACACTCTCTCACACACGCACACACTCTCACACACTCTCTCACACTCTCTCACACACGCACACACTCTCTTACACACTCTCAAACACTCTCTCACACACGCACACACTCTCACACACTCTCTCACACTCTCTCACACACGCACACACTCTTAACACGTTAACCCGCTCGCTTCCACTCGCCGCCCGCTCCCCGTTCACACGAAGACGCCTTCACGGTGATGAGGCGGCGTGGGGGGGGTCCTCACTGAACCCCTCCTGCAGGGTGAGCTTGCACTTAGGGGATCGTCACAGAAGGGGAGTCCAACCGGACGGGTTTATCTGTGGGGTTTCACGCACCCAACCTTGCTCCCGCCACCACAAACGCAAAACGAGGACGTCCTTTAATTAACCGTAAGCCCATTGGAAATCATAATTATTGCTGTTAGAGATAAGTTGAGAGATGAATTGACTGCCTTTATTTAACTAGGAGAAAGTACTGTACACTGAGCTTCAACGTCGCCCGTGAGTGACGTCCTTTACTTGCCAAGTTAAAGAGCGCTGGGATTCCATGTCGGCAGTAATTTACGGCTGTTTATTTAACCAGGTGAGAGCCCGTTGATATCACCGTCCGTGATTGCCGTCCTTTATTTCACCAACTTGAGCAGACTTTACGTCTCCAACATACAGCTGTCTTTCCACATGAAATGTAACAACTTATTTTTTTTTTACAAATCCCATCTGGCCGTGGGGCCGGTTTCGACATTCCGTGTCTCATCAGCAGCGTGGGGCTCGCTGGAATCAATTGCTGGTAAACTGCCAGATTGTTACAGGCGAGGGCCCTCTTTCATTAAGATGTGGGTCCTAGTTTGGACGCAAAATTATGTTATATAACACAAAGTATTCGTTATCGCGTCGTTGGGGAGAATACTGTATGTTAACAAAATATACAAGCAGAACATTCGCTTGCATTTGTCTCTCTGCATACAAAAAATATATGTATTTTTTTACACATCTCATCAGCCACCACGGCCTTATTTCGCCAGGTAAGGTCACGACAAGACTGATTGTCTGTGCAAAAGATGTCTGTGAAAGAGCTCTACATGCGACCTCTCTCCCCGCGGAGAAGGAGCGGTGGCGCAGCGGTTAGCGGCCACTGCACCGTCAAATACCCGGAGACCTGAGTCTGAGTCCAGACTACGGCTCACATCAGTGGCGATTTAATTATCAGAACCGTTCCTGACGCCACTCTCCCCCCCCCCTCCCTTATTTACCAATCCGCATTTACCAGCGTGATGAATTATAGTAAAACGATTCAATGACCGACGGGGCTTGGGAGGCTTTCATCCAGCAGTGGATTGGGAAAAGCTACGTGCGTTGTTGCGTTGTTATTATACCCGGTGCTTAATCTCAGCCAGAACAGTCCCGAATTAGCGCTAATTATATCCGCGCGTCACATCCTACTCGCATTATTTTGCATACCATTTTTATAAACCTGTTCACAGGATTATAGGGTTACGGTGGTACACCAATGTACAATTCGTATGCATATACGCATTCCTCGTACACTCTAGTGGCAGTGCCTTACGCCGAAAATCCCAACCTATTGCGGCGTTCCGAAAAAATATCTAGAGAGAGAGATGAAGCCGTGATTACAGCTGTGTCTGTGTCAAACGTCTGCGTGGCTCTCACGTCTCACGTCGGGAGAAGGGGGCCCACCCATGGCTTCTGCCCCCCCCCCTCCCCGCCCCCCGCGTCTCTCGGGTTTTCTCGGCCCAGATGAAGGAATTTAGGAAATTGTCCCCCCACCCCCACCCCACCCCCTTGCGCGCGCCCGCTCGCCCCCGCCTGTCCGCCCCCGCCGTTGTGTTTAGTCTGAGTCGGGATCCGCCACCTCGTGGGACCCAGGCCCGGGGACCCCAGAGGGGGAGGGCGGAAGGGGTCTGAACCCCCCAACCTCCTACTCCCTCCCCCCGCCTCCGTGACCCCTGTGACCTCTTCTAACCCCCCCTCCCCCCACAACCCACCCTGTGTCTCGTTTACCCCCCACCCCCCTTCCCCGTATTTCCTATTCCCACTGTGTCCCCCCCCCTGCCCCCCGCAAAGTGCCCCCCTTCCCGTATTCTCTCTGTGACCTTTGCCGGAGACAGGAGCACGGTGGAACGTGCGGAGACACGAGGAGACAGCGGGGGGACACGGCAAGGGAGATATGGGGACATTGTGAGAGAGACGGCGAGACGTAAGGAGGCATAGGGAGACAGGGAGACGCGGGGAGACAGGGGCAGACACGGAGAGACACATGGGGGGCAGGGAGATACGGGAGATACAGAGAAGCAGGGAGACACAGAGAGGAGAAGGCAGACACATGGTTTACGCGGGGAGACAGGTTCTCACCTGTCCGCTGTCACCACTCTCCTCTTCACAAATCACCGCCGCTGATTGCGCGGTGCCGATTAATGGGACGCCTTCATCATGGCCACTCCTCCTCACACAGGCAGCAGGAGCCCAGTGAGACCCCCCCCCCTCACCCCCGCCCCTCACCCCGCCCCTCACCAGGTGAGACAACCCAGAGCCCGCACCACGTGACTCGCGCACAGGTAAACTCACCCCCGCCATAGGCATCGCTTTGTCTGAGCCTGCTCACTCAGCCAAGAGCCTCCGTTTTCAACCACAACCCCAGTATAACTTATTGGGTATTTTTTTCCATTCCGCTTGTTTACACAGGAAAGCCCAACCGAGTCTTGAGACTCTTTTGTGGAGGGTCCTGCCAAGTTTTCGCAGTTACGGAGCGATGTCGCTGCGATGTATAATTCCAATTGAGTGATTTGCAGGTAATGTTTAAGCATGGGGAATGTTTTAATCAACGCCAGTTACATCTTACGCGTGTGTTGCGTGTTTAGTTATGGGGGAAAACCCGGAGTAAACCCATCGCAGAACAGGGGGATACATGCAAACTTGAACAGCAACAAGAGTTGTTCGCCACTGTGGGGTAGTGGCGTCACCAGAGCGCTTGTGTCAGGCTAGGTGCACAAATTCACACTCTGCAGATTAGGGGGGGGGGACATATAAACTCCACACAATCACACTCTCACGCACTCACATTGCATCACAGGGGAGGGGGGTATAAACTCCACACACTCACACACTCACACTATGCATCACAGGGGGAGTACATATAAACTCCACACACTCACCCTCTCACACTATGCATCACAGGGGTAGTACATATAAACTCCACACACTCTCACACTCACACTATGCATCACAAGGGTAGTACATATAAACTCCACACACTCACACACTATGCATCACAGGGGGAGTACATATAAACTCCACACACTCTCACACACTCATACTATGCATCACAGGGGGAGTACATATACACTCCACACACTCACACTCTCACACTATGCATCACAGGGGGAGTACATATAAACTCCACACACTCACACACACTATGCATCACAGGGGGAGTACATATAAACTCCACACACTCACACTCTCACACTACGCATCACAGCGGGAGTACATATAAACTACACACACTCACTCTCACACATTCACACTATGCATCACAGGGGTAGTACATATAAACTCCACACACACTCTCTCACACTATGCATCACAAGGGTAGTACATATAAACTCCACACACTCACCCTCTCACACTATGCATCACAGGGGTAGTACATATAAACTCCACACACTCTCACACTCACACTATGCATCACAAGGGTAGTACATATAAACTCCACACTCTCACACTCTCACACTGACACTATGCATCACAGGGGTAGTACATATAAACTCCACACACTCTCACACTCACACTATGCATCACAAGGGTAGTACATATAAACTCCACACACTCACACACTATGCATCACAGGGGGAGTACATATAAACTCCACACACTCTCACACACTCACACTATGCATCACAGGGGGAGTACATATACACTCCACACACTCACACTCTCACACTATGCATCACAGGGGGAGTACATATAAACTCCACACACTCACACTCTCACACTACGCATCACAGCGGGAGTACATATAAACTACAACAACAACAACCGCCATTCGCCACTAAGTGGCGGTGACGTCACCACGACGCTTGTGCCAGGCTATGTGCACCCTGAGGCCACGTGAAGTGTATAAACTACACACACTCACTCTCACACATTCACACTATGCATCACAGGGGGAGTACATATAAACTCCACACACTCACACACACTATGCATCACAGGGGGAGTACATATAAACTCCACACATTCACACACTCACACTATGCATCACAGGGGTAGTACATATAAACTCTACACACTCACACACTCACACTATGCATCACAAGGGGAGTACATATAAACTCCACACTCTCACACTATGCATCACAGGGGTAGTACATATAAACTCCACACACTCACACTCTCACACTATGCATCACAGGGGTAGTACATATAAACTCCACACACTCACACACTCACACTATGCATCACAAGGGTAGTACATATAAACTCCACACACTCACACTCTGACACTCTCACACTATGCATCACAGGGGTAGTACATATAAACTCCACACACTCACACACTCACACTATGCATCACAAGGGTAGTACATATAAACTCCACACACTCACACACTCACACTATGCATCACAAGGGGAGTACATATAAACTCCACACTCTCACACTCTCACACTATGCATCACAGGGGTATTACATATAAACCCCACTCACACACTCACACTATGCATCACAAGGGTAGCACATATAAACTCCACACACTCACACACTCACACTATGCATCACAGGGGGAGTACATATAAACTCCACACTCTCACACTCTCACACTATGCATCACAGGGGTAGTACATATAAACCCCACACACTCACACTATGCATCACAAGGGTAGTACATATAAACTCCACACTCTCACACTCTCACACTGACACTATGCATCACAGGGGTAGTACATATAAACTCCACACTCTCACACTATGCATCACAAGGGTAGTATATATAAACTCCACACACACACTATGCATCACAGGGGGAGTACATATAAACTCCACACACTCACACTCTCACACCCTCACACTATGCATCACAGGGGGAGTACATATAAACTCTACACACACTCACACTATACATCACAAAGGTGGTATATATAAACTCCACACAGAGTGCCCGAGTCGGGACTCGAACCCAGTAAATTTCCTCCTGTGGTGCATGGAGGCATTACCACTGCACCGCCGTCAGCCAATGTATCATGTTGCTATTATCACCCCCCCTCCCCCCCATTAAGATACTTTTATTACAAATAGCGATATTATCACACATTTGGTGTACATGCATGGACACTCATCATTAATTGGCTGAAAACATATATATAGGATTTAAGACCTTGGACAATTGTTGGCAGTGCTGGCTCCGTCCGCGCCTGGCTGCTGCTGCTGCCTTCTCGCTCATCTGTGATTCCTCCTCAGGAAATGAAGGAGAATAATTGGGGAAAGCCAAAGTTATATTTCTTGGACATGTAATAACAAAACAAAATACTGAGTATGAGTGTGGCTTGGGACCGTGATAATTAGAGGTACCACGAGAAGCCGTGGAAAACAGCGAATTAGGTGCCACGAGCAATTTGAACAACTAGATGGAATTGGGATGGAGTTTTCCTAATGAAAGGATATTGAGCAGCATGCGGCTCTTTAATCCCTCACACGTGGCTCTATCGATGGGGCATAAACGTCGAATTTACTCTCACAGTGGTAGCGAAGAAGAACGAAAGTCTCTCCCGTGCTGTGCCCAAAATAAAACCTGCCACTGTATATTATACATGTGGCTCTTCGCAGAACTCACGGGTACTTTTTGGCCCTTGGGTCTGTTACAGATTGGCCACCCCTGTAATCTTGAGTAAATGTCACGGACAGAGCGCAATGTAAGGAAGGCCGGCTATGAACGCGGCTCACGTAGAGAGAGAGAGATTGACAGAGAGAGAGACATCAACATCACCGTAGCTGGTTGTTGTTGGGTGCCTTTGTGTAACTGAATGATATTGACTCTGAAGAGTGTTCCAGGGAGCCTGTAGTAGTCGGAGTAATAATAATAATAAATATCATCACTGTGAAGCGGAGAAGTACCGCAATGGCAGATGGCCAAGGATAGTGACGGAAACATGATGGAGAGCAAGCTCATTGAATGGAAAGCTCGCGTGCAAGCGCCAGGCGGATCAATCTATCCATCTATATTTATATATACTCACTTAACTCGAGTTGTTTCTTTTGTTTGGCTATCTGTATGTACCTACGAACTTTTAAACACTTCATAGAAATCCACATTTTTAAATTATATAGCTACGGGATCACATTTGAAAAAAACGGTTGGTAGTCCCGTTGTCTGAGGGTGTGCAAGCCAAAAAAATGATTCTACGACCTTCGGTTGCCGAGTTATGAGCGAAAAACAAAACTCATTATGTGGACTACAAAACGCAAAAACCTCGCTACTCTAAAGTGCTTAAGTGCACTAGGGAATCAAACCTTTCTCTACTGGCCACGAGGGCCAACAGTCAGCCGCGCAACGGTGTCCCGAGCAACGGTGTCCCTAGCAACGGTGTCCCGAGCAACGGTGTCCCGAGCAAGCAACGGTGTCCCTAGCAACGGTGTCCCGAGCAACGGTGTGCCTAGCAACGATGTCCCGAGCAACGGTGTCCCGAGCAACGGTGTCCCTAGCAACGGTGTCCCGAGCAACGGTGTCCCTAGCAACGGTGTCCCGAGCAACGGTGTCCCTAGCAACGGTGTCCCGAGCAACAATGTCACTAGCAACGGTGTCCCGAGCAACGGTGTCCCTAGCAACGGTGTCCCGAGCAACGGTGTCCCTAGCAACGGTGTCCCGAGCAACAATGTCACTAGCAACGGTGTCCCTAGTAACGGTGTCCTGAGCAACGGTGTCCTTAGCAATGGTGTCCCTTGCAATGGTGTCCCGAGCAACGGTGTCCCTAGCAACGGTGTCCCGAGCAACAATGTCACTAGCAACGGTTGTCTCTAGCAACGGTGTCCCTAGCAACAGTTTCCCGAGCAACGGCTAGGGCACGAAGTCATTGGAGACTCTCAGGGAGCCTTGTGGGTGGTACTTGAGGGAATGAGTGATTGTATGAGGCCAGAATGAGAAATGAATAACAGGCATAAGTGAAATTTCGATTTAAAGCTTTTGTGACTGCAGGGATTCATATTCTTGGTTCTTTCGGTAAAGTCACCACGTAGAAGAGAAATAATAATAAAACAATAAAATTCTCACGACGTTTCGATTGCAATACAAGCAATCACCATCAGGTGTGAAAACCACAGCAAGAAATTTTTGAAAAAAGTGGCGGTGAGAGTTTTGTTTTATTATTTTATTATTTCCTTTCTACGTGACTTTACCGAAAGAACCAATAATATAAATAGGCATAAGTGATTTAACTAAATAATAATGAAAATTTATGAGAGGAAACTAGTGATTGAATTAGGAAAGAATGAGAATGAATGAGAGGTGTCAATCATTGAATGAGGTAAAAATTAAACGAGAGATATGCGTGAATGAGGTAAGAAGTAATTGAATGATGAAGCGATTGAATACGGGAGGAATTACATGAATTTACCTCACAACCGTTTTTTTTTAAATCTCACAATTTTCCTTATAAGCGTTGTAAAATCCCATGTTTTGCTGTTCGCCAGAACAAAACGTGTGCATATGAGAATAATATAATCGTGAGAGATTGCGGCAGCTTGGTGTGGAGGGATGCATTCATCCAGCAGTGGATTGATGATGATGGCCATGCGCTGCTGTGGAGCCCTTACCAATAAGATCTGGTAACACAACAGCAATTCTAGATTTAGAAACGTCGTGATTTTTGTTGTTTTATTTTTTTACCTACGTGACTTTACCGAATAGAACCAGGGAGTACAACAGCAATTGTTTTAACAAGTCTCATTCTGCTGATGAGACCCAGAATGTCCAAACCGGCCCATAGTTCCACGTGCTTAAGGGGCCGTCCATAAATGACGTCATGCACCTACGGGGGGGGGGGGGGGGTTGAGAAATGTGACGTCACATCAAAATGCGCAACTTTAAATAAATATAGACAACACGTTCTACTTAATTAAATAGACTTTTTTAATACATGTTTTCTCCTACATCAGAGTGCAGCGGCACATTGAAATACGCACTACAATGCCAATAGTTTAAAGCGATTTGAAGCATGTTTTATTTGGGGGGGGGGGGGGGGCAGAGCTTTGTGACGTCATATTCGAGGGAGGGTCTGCTTTTTGTGACGCCGTGTGACGATGGGGGGGATCAAAAATCGTCCAAAATCGCGTGACGTCATTTATGGACGCCCCCCTGAAACAAATGCGGTTGGTAATGTTTGCCTGGAAAGACAGCCACATGCACGATAATTTGTTTTATTAGTAGTAGTAGTATTATTTGTGGAGATACAATTGAGTTCTGCTGATGCAGTATTTGCTGTTGCCGGTAAGGATGACCTGACAAGGAACTCACCCTGCGTGGTGAGTTTGTGGTGAGCGACCCCCACTTGCATCAGTGGCCGGTTAGCTCAGCTGGTTAGAGCGTGGTGCTAATAACGCCAAGGTCGCGGGTTCGATCCCCGTACGGGCCACAATATCTTTTTTTATATGTTTGTGAACTACAATACAGCGCTGCGGCGTATTGCGATTTGTGTTTTGTAATCGCCCTCAGCCAGGGTCGACCCACTGCTGAATGATTGCAGAAATAACGGAACAGGAGCTCGACTGCGCAAAGCACCCACGGGATGGGAGAGGTGAGCGCCTTAACTTAACACTGGAGCGGAGCACGTGGAGTGAGATCGTGAGAAGCGCCGCCTCATCCTTTACCCCGGGACTCGGCCGCCCCCTAGCGGTAAACGGTGGGAGCGTGCACTCGTCATACAGGGGCCCATTGTTGACCAACCCACTGCTGGATGAGTGCCTGTCCACGTCGCGCGGAGTCACACCGATCTGCACGTAGTGTCAGTGCAGTGTGGTTCAGGGCGCGGAGCACAGGCAACGTGACCGTATAAGTACAGTACAACAATTTATATTTGTTGTACTGCCCTCCGCTGGCCACGGCGTCGCCCCACAGTAGCAGCCGCCATCGATAGCAAACCTCGGTCTGCACAGCAGTCGCCCACCCAAGCGCTATGCAGGCTGAAATTCTGCTCAGCTACCGAGCTCCGATGTGTACACGAGACACTCACCAACCCCTTCACAACAGCCGCTTTTCACCACGGGGTGGCGGTGACATCACCACCGGCGCTTGTGCCAGGCGAGGTCCACTTTGAGGCCACGTGATGCGTGGGTCAGTTGCTGCCAAGCAGTCACGGGACAGGCCGAAGTTTACGAGTTGACTGAGATGACCGGCCGATGCACGACCTGTGCCCCCAACTCTGCCAAATCGCTGCGTTTTATCCTCCCCGTGCTTCACTCGTTACGAGCGTTTATTGGAGGGAAACTGCCTCCGATTGCTCGGTGGTGACATCCATGAGCCTCCTCCAGAGGCCGATCTTGACATCGCTGGTACCAGTCATCGGGAAGTCCACAACTCCAAATCGTCATGTACCGCATCAGGCCATCTCTCGAAACCGTGCCGCACCCTGTTTGTGCTCTTATATCTACCCTAACAGAAACTACTTGGGCATGCTGTGAGCAAAAGTCTGGTCTCTAAATAGTATCTTACGCCTTGACTAGGGCAATAAAGCATATATGTAGATTATATTTAAATGCCTTACTATACCTCTGCTATAGCAGAGCAAGTGGGGAAATGGCATCCATGCAGGACCTCAACAGCCTGAAATATCACGGCTATGCAAACATCTCCCGTGCGTGCAAGCAAGACGTTGAATTGTCCTTACCAGGAAATTTCCTAACTCAGTAAAGCCAGGGACTCCCCAATAGTTGTTTCTGTGAGGTCCTCCTTCTTGAACTGTGGACCACCAGGGCATTCTATCCTGTGGCTCCCATCCTGTAGTCCAGGCGGTTCCAATGTCATGCAGGGCGGCCTGCAATCACCCCCCCCCCTCCCTAAGAAAGTTCGTTTGGGAGCTCATCTCTTCCCAATGGTTTACTTGGTCTCAGGTTCTAGATTGTTCTTGGCCCTTCCTCAGCAGATGACATCAGCTAGCCAAAGGCGGTGGCCAATTCCTCCAATAGGTTTCACAAACCCAATGTCTAGCCCCATTTTACCCCCACGATGTTGTCTGGGCCAAGAGGTTTTTCCTCCCCCAAGACCTCACAGAAAAGCAAATCTGTAAACCTGTTCCTAGGGGTTAGAGATCAGATCGCCACTCTTTCCCTTAAGGACAGCAAGAGGTGTGGCACCAAGTTATTTTCTGGATCGAATTAAAGTGATTTATGATCGCAGGCTTGCTGAGGCAATGTCCATCTCCCTAGCAACCCAGAACTAGCACTAATTGCACGGCTCTCCGAACCTCCAAGCGAAAATGGTGGAGAGCCTCATTCTTGGACGCACACCCGGTACGACAAACTCGGTACAACACACCCGGTACGACACACGAGATACCCGGTACGACACACGAGATACCCGGTACGACACACACCCGGTACGACACACACCCGGTACGACACACACCCGGTACGAGATACCCGGTACGAGAAACCTGGTACGAGACACCCGGTACGACACACGAGATACCCGGTACAACACACCCGGTCAGGGGCGGAGCCAGGATTTCAGGCCAGGGTGACATTCAACACATTTTAATTTCAAGAATGATTAGAGAGTCAGGCTGTTGAACTAGACGCCATCTGTTGGCGACACACTCTGACAATGCAGTTGCACGGAGTCCGCCAGACCGAGTGTCGTACACTTATACGCAGAATGTCACCCCTGTCACCCCCCCTGGTACGAGACACCCGTTATGAGACACCCGGTACCACACAACCGGTTCGACACAAACCCGGTACCACGCACCCCGAGAGTACAGGAGGCCTCGGAGCCGCGTGAATGTTAAGGCCACCACATAAACAGCCAATGACTTTATTAGAACCCAGACGTGAATTTCTCCTCACAATCACGACTGTTACAGTAAAACTAAAGTGAATACGGTTTTTTTTTTATTTTTTTTAATAAGAATTGTAAAGTGTAAACCTTGGCTTCTTCTGACGGCAATCGAATGAACAGGAAGCTGAGCTAAAAGCATGCACCGCGCGCGTGCACCTTCCATCGCATAAACGATAAACACACCGCCCCCCAACGCCAAACCGACAGAGCCCCCCCCCCCCCGCCAGCAATCCCAACACGTGGGAAATAGGGGGGCACGATGGGGGGGTGGGGGGGTGGAGAGCATGATAATACAGAAGAGAGAAAAGAAGGCCGATACAAGTCACACCACCCGCTGCTGATTCCACACATTACACCATAAATAAGTCGACATTTAAATTTTATAATTTACAAACAAAAACAAATTTAAACAAAAGCTAAAACTGGAGAGGGGGGGGCAGGGTCGGAGTGGGGGGGGGGGGCGCTTCCCATTGGCGCCGCCTTGGCAGCCTAAAGAACGCGAGGTGAAGATTTTGGTGTCGGAGCCAGGAGAGGTCACTCATCCAGCAGTGGAGTGTCTGCACACCGTAGCCCACACCACACAGACAATGTAAACATTATACTTCGCATCACATACGTAATGCTTCACAAATATTATACACCAAGCACTGCTCCACATACGTATACATCACAATAATTATATGCCACTCCACGCACCACTCCACAGCATAACCCACTACACACGATATCACTCGGCACCATACCACCCCATATCAAACTACTCCTCACCATATCACATCACACACTACCGCTTTATACACACCACGATACACATCACAGCACCCTCCACACCATATCGCAACACACACCAACACACCCCCTTCCCCAGCGACATCACAACACGCCGCACCACTCCAAGCCACACGGCACCCCACCGCACCACTCACCCTCGGCGCAGGCCGCCAGAGACATGGACAGGAGGCTGCCGGTGCCGTCCTCACTTCCGTCACCATCCGAAAACGCGACCCCCGCCTCCGCGGACGCCCCCCGACGCCTGTCAGCGGCGTTCGGGGACCCCTGTGCGGACCCCGCCGGGCCAATCCCGGTAAGCAGCAGGGTTCCGGGGATCGCAGGCGCCTGCTGCTGCTGCTGGTGTAGAAGTAGCAGGGTGGGGGGCTGTGCCGGGGACAGGGGTGCCCCTGGGATTACCCCGGACGTCTCGAGTGGGGAGCTCAGAGCGGAGGCCCCGGTGGCCTCGTCGTAGGAGGGGAGGGAGACGGGGACGCCGTCCACCAACAGCGTGGCGCCGGAGCCCGAGACGCCGCGTTCTCGACTGCGCGTGCACACACACACACACAAAACAAAGACACTGTTTAGCATTTTGAAAACCATTGGACAAAGTGCTGTTCACAAGCACTTACGAAGGCCAACACGGCACACAAAGGAGTGGTGTGGTCATCTCCGTGCCTGGCCGCCTTTGTCTCCCCAGTGTTTACACACCGCACCAAGTACTCATCCCTCCACATACCTCACCAATCCTCTCCAAACCTCGTCGTCCCATCCCCCAAATCGTAGGCCTTCTCCACACCTCCCTGGACCCTATTACCCCTTCCCCCCACACCTCGCCACCCCTCCCCACACCCCATCGCCCCTCTCCACACCAGACCACAGCTCCCCATACCTCGTGGCCATCACTCACCGTGCATGCCGCAGGCTCTTTAGTCGAGGTTGCAGCATGACGAGGACAACAATGAGGAGCAGTACCATGACGACGGAGCTCGCCGTCGCGGCAACGATCGCCCACGGCGACGTCAGCGACTTGTCGCCACGGGCGTTACCTGGGTCCGCTATTCGTTGTGGACACGTGACACGCAGGGTGGACACGTGGGGGTGGACACAATTGGAATTCAGTGGGTAAGTAGAATACAACACAATGTGGATTTATAACACGTCTAATGTGACTGCATCTCAACACGCCACACAGACACAGGGTGCATGTTTATATTATGAAGGTAATCAGACGCAGGTCTCAGTGTCACTCAATAGGTCTATATGTGAGTCTACGGGTCTGTGAGTCTATGGGTATCTATAGTATGGAAATTTGATCGCATTAGAAGATGCTGTACAGACACAGCAGGCATATTTATACTAGAGAGAGAGAGAGAGGCAGTCAGTCAGGTAAAGGAGAAGAGGAAGGTCTTCAGTCGAGACTTGAACAGGCGCAGGGAGTCGATAGCACGGACGAATGGGGGAAGAGAATTCCAGACTGTGGGGGCAGCAGATAAGAATGAGCGATCTCTCACTGAGTAAAGGTTTCCTGGGAGCTTCGATCGAGGTTCGATAGTGCAGGGAGGGGAGGAGGGTAAAGTAGGCGAGAGGGGAGATAAAATTGACAACCCTTTGCCAATCCACTTCTGAATGAAAACTTCACACCGTGTTAGCCATCGGGGTTGTTTGACCATACTTCACCACGCTGGTCAGTGCGGCTTAGTGAAGCGGAGGCTAAGGACCGGTTCAATTATTACTCGCCACTGATGTTTTTTGTGGGCGAGAATCAAACTCAGGTTGGGATCATTCAGGGTGATTTGTTAATGGATGTTTGGATTAAGGTCAATTTAAGTGTGGTTCGTGTTATGGGTTAGCATTCAGTAATATAAGTGATGGGAGTAGTGTTAAGGATAGGGCTAGTGCCAGGGCGATTCTAGGGATTAGCATGAGTATTAGGGGCTCGTGTTATGTTGAAGGCACCGGCGCGGGGCCGTGAGCAGCGCTGACCAGAGTCGGGCACGCAGGCGACTTCAAGCGGGGGCGACCACACGCCCTTGTGGCACGTGATAAAGCGGTACTCCCCCTTGAGGGTGAAGCCTGCGTCGCAGTAGTACTCCACCACCGTGTTCCCCACGTAGCGGTCGCACGGGCCGGGGTGGCACAGGAAGCTACCGTGGGGCGGCCGCGTGGGCACCTCACAGACTGCACAGCGGGCATACACACATCCACCCCACACACACCGGTCATACACACCACACACACCGGTCATACACACCACACACACACCGGTCATACACACCACACACACACCGGTCATACACACCACACACACACCGGTCATACACACCACACACACACACCGGTCATACACACCACACACACACCGGTCATACACACCACACACACACCGGTCATACACACCACACACACACCAGTCATACACACCACACACACACCAGTCATACACACCACACACACACCGGTCATACACACCACACACACACACCGGTCATACACACCACACACACACCAGTCATACACACCACACACACACACCGGTCATACACACCACACACACACCGGTCATACACATCACACACACACACCGGTCATACACACCACACACACACACCGGTCATACACACCACACACACACCGGTCATACACACCACACACACACACCGGTCATACACACCACACACACACACAGGCATGCACATGATGGCACCATTACAACACTGCAATATCACCGGCCATGATGAATCCACTGCTGCATGAAGGCCTCCCCAATCCAAAGCCATATCTCACTGGCTCCTCTCTTAGCTCCTTTCTCTCCTTCACTCTCTCTCCAGCTCTCTCCCACAGCCTCACTATCCTGCTCTCTCTTGCTGTCACTTCCACTGTGGGGCTCTGAGGCCACTCCCCGACTCTCCCCCCAACCATTCTCTTGTCTATCCTGTCTCTCGCTCTCTCTCCTGTACTCTCCTGCACTCTCTCCACTCACACTGAGAGACGAGGCACGGTTCTCTCTCCCACTCTATCCTGCACTCTCTTTCACTCTCCCCCACTTATACCCCCATTTCTCTCTTCCCCCAGTTTCTCCCATTTTCCCTACTGCTCCCTTCCTCACTCTCCCAGCTCTCCCCACTACTCACACTGGGAGACGAGGCACTGTGGAGGGCGTGCGGACCAGCTGAGCGCCTCTGTGCAGGAGATGGAGCGTGCGCCCTGCAGCACGTAGCCCGGGTAGCACGAGAACGCCAGCGTTGAGCCCACCGGAAACTGCTGCATGTCCCCCACGTCCGCCTGGCAACAGCAATCCAGCCATTCACGGAGTCAACTAGTCAAACATTTCACTCAACCAGACAACCTAACAAGTCAACCAGTAAGCCAGTCAGCCCATCTATGAGTCAACCGGTCAGCCTGTTAGTCTACAATCAACCCGTCAACCAATCACCCCGTCGACACATCAACCAATCAATCAGTCAGCCTGTCATTGCATCAAACAGCCAACTTACCCACTACTCAATCAGTGAACCCATCAATTGCTCAGCCCATCCACCTCTCGGCGCATCATCCCATTAGCCTGTCAAACCTTTCTCTGCGTTATCGGTCACTATATCACTATATCCGAGTCCTGGCTCCACCCCGCCAACGCTCCTCCTACCTGCACCACCTCACGACCGTCCCTCGGCTCAATGTCCACCGCACCACCATACGCCGGAGGGGTGACACCACTGGCGCTCACCCAGCTGTCAGGCACCTGCGGCTCCGGACAGCCTAAACACACACAATCACACGAGACAAAGATCCCTCTGTAGCCTTTACCAGACTGTTACGGCAATTACCGTTAGTGAGCACCTATGAAGACTGGCAAGGCACGCGAGGTGGAGTGGTGTGGCTAGCGTCATGCCCGGCCGCCTTTATCTCCCCAGACGTGATAATTAAGACACCACACCTATTACTAATTCCAGGCTAAGTCGACTCAGGGGAGGATCATTACCGGTTTATACATTCATCGCTGATGTTAGCCGTGAGCAGGGATGGAACCAGGGCTGCTGTTTTTGTAGTGCAGTGTGCTAACCGCTACACAACCGCTCCCCACTGACACACACACACAACACACACCTTACACTCGCAGTTTTTGTTTTTAATCAGTAAACTAATCTCTGCCTTTGTGGGTCTTCAAGTCTCGGCGTCAAACCGCACACTGGCGACCACACTGTACACGTGACGGGAGGCCACACGGAATGTGGCGTGACCGGCCTCCCCGCTCTCCCCTCTCTTGCACAAACCCGCCCAACAGCGACGTCACACGCCGCCAGGCTCCCTGCACCGCCGCCCGACCCGACGCCGCCAAGACAACTCGCCCAGGGACGCCGCCACACATGCGGGACACGGGGTCCGGGAGCCCCGAGCTGTGACCCCTGGCCTGTGACGATGGCGCTCTGAGCACCATCGCAAACCCCAGCTGCCCCGGGCGAGGAAAAAAAACAGGCGATGAAATCTTACGACTGGGGGGTGCGGCCGTTTTACAGCAACCACCATCGAAACAAATGGCCCTGTCTTGTACGCAACTCGTGTCAGCGAGACACATCCTTGACATCATTATCAACCACGATCTATCCACTGCTGGATGAAGCCTCCCAAAGTTATCACCATCGGTGACCACGCGGTGATGTAACAATCCATCGAGTTCTATCCTGCACGCGAGACACCCTCATCGCTTGCTCCCACCACCACGCCATCGCGGATTGAGTTGTGCGCCATCTGCACTGTGCTGAATGGGCCCCCCCCCACCCCCCGCCGTGCTGTTTGTGGAGTGTTCTTGCCAAGAACAGCAGGTAGTCCAGTAGCTCTGGTTTAATAGGCAATACCCTCCTGTTGAGGCTCAGAGAAATTATACCAGCCGAGAGTTGTCCACTGCTAAAAGTAATGACTGATTATTCCAGAATAACGAGATAGAGTGATTTGGAGCTTTCGTGACTGCAGGAATCCATACTCTTTGGTTCTTTCGGTAAAGTCACGTAGTAGGTAGAAAATAAGTAGATCACGTGACGTTTCGATCGCAACACAAGCGACCGTCATCAGGTGAGACAAACACAGCAGGAGAACTGCTGACGCAGCAGAAAGCGCTCTCTCTACGTGACTTTACCGAAAGAACCAAAGAGTAACTCGATAGAGGCTGATGGAATAACATGTTATTGTATTTGTTAAGTGTTGATGGGAACTTTTGTCTCGTATCATGTAGGTACACACACACACACCTGGGCAGCATGCCCAAGGATCTGCGTTTGAAACTTTTTTCATGAGGTATTTAAATAAATATATAAAATGGTTGGATGTTCCGTTATGGCACTCTCGTTGCATCGCTGCAGCGACGATGTATTAACATGCACGGCAGCAATGTAGCCATGACGATTGCCGTTTTTACATGCTTAACATTGTTTATTTCATCACCATATGCTTGGTTCTTTGGTAAAGTCACGTAGAAGGGAAACAGTAAAATAATAAAAATATAAAACAATAAAGTTCTCACGTTTCGACTGCAACACAAGCAATCATCATCAGGTGTGAAAACCACAGCAAGAAAATTTGCGCAGCAAGAAAATTTTCTTGCTTATTGTTTTATATTTTTATTATTTTATTGTTTCCCTTCTAGGTGACTTTACCGAAAGAACCAAGAATATGGATCCCTGCAGTCACGAAAGCTTTAAATCAATATTTTATCACCGTTGATTTATATTCAACTAGGATTCACTCGCGTTTCAAATGGACTGGCAGAGAAAAAACGCAGCCTCCGTACATAAGCCCACATTCCGTCTAGAGCTCGTTCTCTACTCTACAGCAACTGTATGATTATTTTTAGTACGCATGTATACCCAGGAAAGTATCACCGAGTCTCAGGACTCTGGAGGGTCCTGCCAAGTTTTTTTTTAAGTAGGGGCGATGTTACTATGTGTAATTGCAATTGAGTAATTTGCAGGTCAATTTTTCAGCTTTGAGATGTTTGGCCAATACCAGTTACATTGTGTGGGTCTGTGTTTAGCTCTGGGAGAAAACGGGAGATTCTAGGTGAAATTGATGCAGAACAGGGGGAGGGACATACAAACTCCACACAGATAGGTGCCTGATCAGCAATCGAAACCAGGGCCGTCTTGCTTGTGAGGCACAAGTGGTACCACTGCACCACCCTGCCACTCTAATCCTTCATTGGCACCGGCATCTCACCGGCACACACGGGCTGGTAGTCCCAGGTTCCATTGCCGAGACACGTGGGGTAGCGAGTCGCGGCGGGATCCGGGGCGGTGTGGCGAGTGGGTAGTTGCAGGCGGTAGCCTGGGTAGCACCGCACCTCCAGCATCGCACCGACCTCCCATAGCGTCTCCATTGGCAGCGCATGGTCTATGTGGGGACTAACGCATTTTATCCCCACTACTCACACGGGAGACACAGGAGACACACGGGGACACGAGGGGACATCAGGAAAAGATCTGGGAGGTTGCTCATTTTCCTAGTTTGGTACTTCCTTCCCCCACCCATCTGTGCAGTTGACTTCATGCCAGGCCAGGCTCAAGACCTTCCTCCCCTCTGCCTATGACTGACTGCCTGTCTCTGTATAATAAATAGGCCTTCTGCGTCTGTATAGCATTTATTTTGATTGGCTCACACAGAGAAGCATAGACTCAAGTAGCACTGAGACCCAGAGTCTCATGCAGAGACCCACACACCGATAGAGACACAGAGTATCCACATACTCGCATAGGGAAGAGACACGTGCTAACATAGAGACGAACAGACTGATATAGAGACCTATGATTACACTGTACTGTAATTTTATCTGTGGCCCAATGCGACACCATGAGCGTGATGACCTCCCCTGCTGCTGAGCCACATGCTGTGGCTGCGATGTGGTTTCAAGCGGTGTCAGGTGACGCGTGACACCTCCGCGGTTGGTATCACACCCCAGGTCGGACAAGAAGGTTGTGAGAACTGTTATAATAGAACTCAGGCTTGTGTGTCCCACTAGGAAGAGAAACCTCAGATTGGTTTGTGGGGAATTCCCGTGTTTGGCAGGAGCGGAATTAGTATTTACAAGCAGTCCCCGGGTTACAGAAGAGTTAGGTTTCCGAGAATGATCCGTAACCCGAATTTTCCGTATGTCGGAAACTGAACAATTTCCCCCCCAAAATGAACGATAAAATCCCAAAGCTGGAAATAGTTGTGGCTCTCCTACCCAATTACTAGGTTCGTTTTCTCTCAACTACCGTATCACGCTGTTGTTCGTTTTATATTGCTACCTATATCGTATCGCTGTACATACGCTCTGCACTTCCTACGATTCTTTCATTTAATCGAATATCTACCCTAACACTACCCATAATTAAACTAATGGAAAATATACTGTTTCCAACAACGGTGTTCGACCAGATGACGCCTTTTGGCATTGTCTGGTCGAACACCGTATGAGACTAGGCTCTAAGGAAAGCTGTCTCTGGTGTGGACCAATCAGTTTCAAGGACAATGCATAAATGATCAGTGTTGTTTTTTTTGCATTTTGACTGCAAGTATTGTGGTTAATGTAAACATGATTCCTTGCAAAAGGTTTCAGTTTTGTTGCCAGAAAAAAGGGGAAAAACCCTATTATTGTATCCAACTGTTTATGAATACCTCTCACCCAGCTTAAAATACGCTGCCAAGCTTAGCAGTGTTCATTAGGACGCTGTCTTTCCAACAGCTCTGTTCTTCACCTGAGGACGGCTGCTTGCGTTGTAGCCGAAACGTCGTGATAATTTTATTCAATGTTTTATTTTATTATTTTATTATTTCCCTTCTACGTGACTTTACCGAAAGAACCAAGAATATGGATCCCTGCAGTCACAAAAGTTTTAAATCGAAATTTTAATATTAATTATTATCAGAAAGCGCTTCGTTCCGAATGTTTGTTTACCGTGCATTAGGCTAGGCCTAAACTTCTCCGATCGCTGTTGGCTGAGACCGCAAGCAACCTAAGCGTAACTGTGTTAAATAAAGTACGCACAGTAAATAACTCGTGAAATAAACTTAAAATGAAAAAAAAAAACTAGCAATAGAAAAATGGGAAAAAAAGTTGTAAACATAGAAAAGTAAACAATTACGTAACGCTACAAACAATTCCATTTACCTTAATCCTAGTGGAGCTCAGGCTCCGTGAAGTTGGGGAGCCGCCTTATGCTTCACTCCACAGTATTCATCCGCAAACCTCACCGCCCCACACTACTTGTGCATATTTTTTTAAAAAATGTCCATGATTTATGAGACCATTTCGGTCGGATTTCCGTAAGTCGGGTGTTCCGCAACCCGGGGGGGGACTTACTGTAATGACGATGTTGTGGAGTTTTATAAAGCAACTAGAAGAACATCAACTTCTGGCCTTTGAATACAGCTGTGTTGTGAAGGACGCTAGGAATTGTAATGTGGAAAAGTAAGCAACTCGGAAGTTCAGAATAGAAGTGTGGCAGGAAAAGTGTCGTAGATGTAGAGGTTGTGATGGACACCATGTACTATGTGGAGGAGGGAAAGTTACAGGCATTGGATTGGCAACCAGAGGTTAGTAACTAAGGGGAAGACCTAAACCAGCGAGTGGGGATTTTGTAACGGAAGCCCTCAGAGTGGGGTGTCAAGTTGGCAACAACTACAGGATCTGGCAGAAGCCAGGGCAAGGTTTGATAGCATCAACAGCACCGGTAGTGACGATCTGGTGTTCGGCAGTTGTCTGATGGTATATGAGGTTGTGTCAATGGTATCAGGTGGTGTCAGGTGAATTTCCTCGCCTGTGCTGATGACGTTGGCGGCACGGGTGCTGATGACGACGGCGTACGTGAGGCTGGGTGCGAGCACGAGCAGGGCACCCAGGGCGGCCGACAGGTACCCCATGAACAGCGGTCCCCCACGCTGGGAAGGCCCCCCACGTGGGCCCAGACCCCCTCGCATCCCCCCCACCAGCCTGTCACTGTGGGATGGACACAGGAGTGAGATCCGTGAACATAAACCTCGCCCAGAGCGACGCGAAACGCACACCCATCCACAGGATGACGAAAGAAACACACCCACGGACTAATGAAACACAGACAGGTTAAATATACACAGGCGACCTTACCCATAGGCAGATGAAACACAACAATAGCCGCCATTTGCCACTAAGTGGCGGTAACGTCACCAAGGCGCTTGTGCCAGGCCAGGTGGACTCCAGGCCCACGTGAAGTGTCGAAGGCTCACTGACATGAGGTTAGAGGACAGATCCAGGTGCTATGGGTTTCCTGAGATGACTGGCCGCCTACTGTGCCAGCTTGCCGCATTTTAGCTGCCCAGCGCTCCGCTCGTTTTTGTGAGCGTCGCATTGTTGGAGGGTGACTGCCTTCAACTACCCACGGGCCTCCTCCACAGAGGACGATCTTGACACCGCTGATACCAGTCTTTACGAAGTGCACTCTGCTCCACATCCTCCCGTGCTGCATCAGTCCATCTTTTCTCCAGCCCGTGATGCGCCTGTTTAGCCCCCTTTAGCTACTTGGGCATTTGGTAGCTAGGCATGTGAGCTACATGAATCAGCCAACGCAGCATTGCCTGCCAGAGGAGCTCACTGATGGGAATATGTCCAGACCTTTCAAGGATATGTGAGCTCCTCACACAATCCAGCCTGGTTAAACCCAGGATGGATCATAGGCAGGCCAACCTGCCTATGAGCAGATGTTCCATTAGAGGCATGACCGTGCTTGTAACACAAGCACACACACAGGCAACGACACACAGGCAACGACACACAGGCAGTGACATAAGCACATACAGGCCGGGACACAACCACACATCGGCAGCGACACAAAAAAAAAATCCCCCGTATAGCCTTTAATATACTGTTGGGGCAAGTGCTGTTAGCGAGCAACTTTGAAGACCGGTACAGAACCCGAGGGGGTGGGTGGTCAGCACCACACCAGGCCACCTTTGTCTACAAAGTGGCGATATTTAAACACCACACCAGGAACTTATTTGAGGCCGAGTCGACCTCGGGGAGGCCCAGGACCAGTTCAGATATCCATCACCATTCGTACTCAGGTCAAAAAGGCTACACTACCGCTCCCCACCAGTGACACACACCGGCAGTGACAAAAAGGGTAGTGATACATACGCACATACAGTAACATACAAAAAGACAAAGATCCCCCATAACAGTGCTGTTGGCGATCACCTATTAAGGCCGGAACGGCACACGAGGGGGTTGGTGGCCAGCAACCACGCCCGGCCGCCTTTGTCTCCCTAGTGGTGATATTTACACACCGAACCAGGTACTTATTTGAAGCTGAATCGACCTAGGGGAGGCCCAGGACCGGTTCAGATAATCGTCACTGTTGTTGGCCGTGAGCGGGAATCAAACTCTGGTCGCCGGGTTCGTAACGCAGCGCGCTAACCGCTACACCACCGCTCCCCACATACACAGGCAGTGACACACACACAGGCAGTGACACACACGTTACAATTGTCTGGCGCGCAGGCAACCACAACCATAACTCGCCAGAGGAATTGGAAATTCCCATAAGTTCATACAAATCACGCTTCCTTGTGTCATGTAAACATTGGACATTGTAAAAGTTACACTGTACTTTAAACGGTTTACGCCCTCATACCCCAGCGTCACACAGCATAGCAAGCTCTTGCTCGTCATAGCACTGTATTACTATTATAATTATTGTTATAATCGTCGTTTTTGTATTCTAGTTGTGTTTGGAGTGGCTATGGTTGGTTTTAATGTTGAGGAGTATTGTTGTTGTGACTAGAACCAAGAATATACTAGTGGTACTGTTATGTTTGACATTCATGGTACAATACTGTATTTTCTTTAGCGTTGGACTTGCTATTTGTATTCTTTCTGGCATCAGTGTTGTTGCTGGTGATGTTAAATTTGACTATGTTATTAATAGGGTTACCGTTGCGAATCCTATTATCATACATTCGCTAATTATAACTTGATAAGGTTACGACTGGCGTTGTTACGATAGCTTACCTAGATCGTTTTCACGAGTACTGTTTGTGTTGTCACCCTTCGTAGCGTTGCCGTTACCATGTAGTGTTACTATAGCTGTTATTATTGATGTTTATGCTGCTGTTCGTACTATCATTGTTTGTACAGCGATTACAATTATTGCCACCATTTAACTTGAAACATAGAATCTGTGGCAATAAGCGTTATTGTCAATGTTAATTACTCTCATACGTGTTGTTTAAAATACAGGTTTTTGGGTTAGATCGCGTTAAGTATAAATGTGTCGTAACCCTCCACCACCCGACACTGCCAGTAAGGATTGTCAAGTAAACAAAACGTGACGCTTTTATTTTTCGATTTAAAGCTTTCGTGACTACAGGGATTCATATTCTCGGTTCTTTCGGTAAAGTAACTTTTTTCTATTTTTTTTTGCTGTGGTTTTCACGCCTGACGATGACTGCTTGTGTTGCAATCGAAACGTCGTGAGAATTTTATTGTTTTATTTTATAATTTTAAGATTTTCCTTCTACGTGACTTTACCGAAAGAACCAAGACTATGAAAACGCGACGCGTAAACAAAACGTGACCAACCTTATTGGTTGTGTCGGGTGGTGTCGGGTTACGACACATTTATACTTAACGCGATCTAACCCAAAAACTTGTATTATATTGGTCGCAAAAGCCTGCTACGTGTTCAACATCAGTGTTGTTGTCGTGTCGTTATCGCTATTAGTGCCGTTTGTATTTGTTGTGTTACTACTGTATCATCATCGTTACCGCTGTCAATGTAATTATAAATGATGTTGTGGTTGCTATAGGTGCTATTAGTATCGTCGCTGTTGTTGTTACTACGATTGTGTCCCTACACGTGTTGTTGTCACTGATATTTGTGTAAATGCTGCTGCTGCTGTTGTTGATATTTACAGTCGACTGCGAGAGGCCTGTCCGCTAGGCCGTAGGCGCCGGGTTGGGGGGCGGGGGGGTCTCCGATCTTGACGGGGTTCTGCGACCCCGCGACACCGAACGCTGGGGAGAGAGAGAGCGAGAAGGGGGACGGGAGAGAGATGGGAGAGCGATGGGAGAGAGGAAGAACGTGGAGGAGAGCAAGAGAGAGAGAGCGGGCACGGGAGACGCGGCTCCGCTCTTCTAAGACGCATTCATCGCCCCGCAATTCACTTCCGCTACTGCTTCCGCCGGTGACGTCACGTGACGCTGGTAAGCGCGTGGCCGATGACGTCACAAACAGACGCTTCATATTTGGGCTTGGCGTTTCTCCCACCACACAGAAACAACCACGTGATACCCCGATCAAAATCATCGCGTTACCATACACAGCAGGCGTTACTAAAAATATTTACACAATTTTAAACAAACACAAGATCCAGGTCCGGTTCAATGCAGCACACAAAATCCGTGATCTGATCCCATCATATTCTTAGCTCTTTCGGTAAAGTCACGTTTCCCTTCAACGTGACTTTACCGAAAGAGCTAAGAATATGAATTACTGCAGTCACGAAAGCTTTAAATCAAAATCTGATCCCATCAGTTAAGGATGTCATCCCTGACTTACAGTACCCCGGTGTTTACAAATTGAGTTGTACCTGCGGTGACTGCTATACCGGGGAGAAGAAACGACGTATTTCTGACCGAATCCGCGATCACAAATCAGATTTGAAACGGCAGAACGAATTCTGCGGCCGTGGCTGACCATTGTTTCAACACAGCGGGTTCTAATGACGTTATTTTCTCCGATACCAAAGTGCTATGCAAACCTCCCGGTTATTACCAAAGATGTGTCCATGAAGCCATCCAGATATACAAACATAGACACAACTTCAACCGAGAGGATGGTTTCAAATTGAGCAACTTTTGGAAAGATGTCATCAACCAAGTCAAACTTTAGCTGGCTTATAATTGTACAGCCGTTTCCGTTTCTACCTGGATGGTGCTTGCTCTTGTGCAGCACGCCATCGCTCCCCCCAAACCCCCTGCAGCATAACAAAAGGCGTCTTAACTTAGCCCTCCCCTCCCCACCCACGTGCCTTCCTGGCTCCTCCCCTTCCCTTAACTTAGCCCTCCCCTCCCCACCCACGTCCCTTCCTGGCTCCTCCCCTCCCTTCACTTAGCCCTCCCCTCCCCACCCACGTCCCTTCCTGGCTCCTCCCCCTCCCTTAACTTAGCCCTCCCCACCCCACCCACGTCCCTTCCTGGCTCCTCCCCCCCCTTAACTTAGCCACCCCCTCCCCACCCACGTCCCTTCCTGGCTCCTCCCTTCCCTGAACTTAGCCCTCCCCTCCCCACCCACGTCCCTTCCTGGCTCCTCCCCCCCCTTAACTTAGCCACCCCCTCCCCACCCACGTCCCTTCCTGGCTCCTCCCTTCCCTTAACTTAGCCCTCCCCACCCCACCCACGTCCCTTCCTGGCTCCTCCCCCCCCCTTAACTTAGCCATCCCCTCCCCACCCACGTCCCTTCCTGGCTCCTCCCCCCCCTTAACTTAGCCCTCCCCTCCACGTCCCTTCCTGGCTCCTCCCCTCCCTTAACTTAGCCCTCCCCACCCCACCCACGTCCCTTCCTGGCTCCTCCCCCTCCCTTAACTTAGCCCTCCCCACCCCACCCACGTCCCTTCCTGGCTCCTCCCCCCCCCCCTTAACTTAGCCCTCCCCTCCCCACCCACGTCCCTTCCTGGCTCCTCCCCTCCCTTAACTTAGCCCTCCCCACCCACGTCTCTTCCTGGCTCCTCCCCCCTCCTTAACTTAGCCCTCCCCTCCCACGTCCCTTCCTGGCTCCTCCCCCCACCCCTTAACTTAGCCCTCCCCTCCCCACCCACGTCCCTTCCTGGCTCCCCCCCCCCTTAACCTGTATATAAGCTCGTGTGTCCCAGAGCTGTTCACTTGATACAGCGAAATTTGTTGTGTCTGTTCCACCTGAAGATGGAAGCTTGTGTTGCCTCCGAAACGTCGTGATTTAATTTAGTTTTTATTTTATTTTACCTACGTGACTTTACCGAAAAAAAAAAACAAAGAGTATAGTATATATTTGTAGGAGAGTACGTCACGAATAGAGATAAGTATCATCTGTGGGCTTTGACGTCATTAGTATATATTAGTGAGAGGTGACGTCACGAACAGAGAAGTCTCCTCAGCGGGCATAGACGTCACTAGTATATATGTTAGTGGACGATGACGTCACTAAAAGACAAGTCTCAACTCAGGATCTGTAACGTCACTAGTATATATTCGTGGAGGATGACGTCACGAACCAATACGTTACAATAGAGTTTATTCACGATTTATTTACACGGCCAATAAGAGTGAATTACTTGTTAACCCCACTCATTTCAAGCGTCTTTCATGCAACTCACTGTTATTGATCACATACATAAATAGGAACCACCAGAGTGGGGTCGTCCATAAATGACGTCACGCGATTTTGGACTATTTTTGACCCCCCGCCTTCGTCACACGGCGTCACAAAAAGTCAAACCCCCCTCAAATATGACGTCACAAAGCTCTGCCCCCCCCCCAAAACAAAATAAAACATGCTTCAAATCGCTTTAAACTATTGTCATTGTAGTGCGTATTTAATGTGGCGCTTGTCTCTGATGTTGTAGGATAATTTGTTTTATTAAAAAGTCTATTTAATTAAGTAGAACGTGTTGTCTATATTTATTTAAAGTTGCGCATTTTGATGTGACGTCACATTTCTCAACCCCCCCCCCTCGTCACACATCGTCACAAATGTCTGACCCCCCCTCCCCCCCCCTAGGTACGTGACGTCATTTATGGACGGCCCCTTTCGTATGGTTTGATGCTCGAGGCAGAGCAACAACTTCAATGTCACAGCCAAGGTGGTCGAGCCCAGCTAACCGCGTCCAGGAGACAGCCGAGTGGAACGCCGCGATGTCTCCTTGGGATTTAGCGGTCCGGGGCATTGCCTCGTTATACGTTTTCTACCTACGGTGACTTTACCGAAAGAACGAAAAGAATACGGATCTCTGCAGTCACGAAAGCTTCAAATCAAAGATCGTTACCACCGCACTCCTGGAGTGTTTTTAATTTCCCATTATGTGCATCATCAAAGTATCCGCATCTACTGCTGCCATGGTTTGTAAAGTGGATGCGGTTTAGGGTGGACCATGAGCTGCTCCGTGGATGATCAAATCCCCAGCGATCTTCCCCGTTCCTCTTGAGCTCGTCGACACGGAACTCGTCCTATTAGCGGCGCGAGGCGGGGACCGCGGCCACGAGACGAGGTGGCCGAGTGGTTAAGGCGATGGACTGCTAATCCATTGTGCTCTGCACGCGTGGGTTCGAATCCCACCTTCGTCGCGATTGTTTTTAACAAAAAAAGTTAAATGCGAGTTTCGTCTCGCTCACGCAGATAATGCAACATTGGAATATAAGACTGCGTGTGGTGACTTCCTTTGGGTATTTCGGTAAAGCCACGTAGATACGTTAAAAGAACATTACAAAAAAAACTTCGACGCTTCGATCGTAAACGTACGTATTTTTTTTGTTATTTTCGATCGAAACGTCGTGGTTTTGTTGTTTTCTTTGAACCTCTCTACGTGACTTTACCGAAAGACCCAAAGAATATGAATTCCTGCAGTCACGAAAGCTTTAAGTCAAGATTTACTGCATAGTCATTACCAAGCAGTATTAACCCATTCTGATAATAGAGGTGGATGCGTTCGATGAAGTGTGATTGTCATGCAAGCTGCGTGCGCGTGACGCCCTCTACTGGGTTAAAACAAAGTTCGACCACAGACTCGGGTTTTAGGAGGTTAAAACGATGTGTTGTTTATTTGGAGAGAGAGACAGAGGGAACTAACACCCAACCTGTACACATCATCATCATCATCGACGTCACCATCCTGATCACAATTACAGAAATATCATTACCACTACCATCACCACCACAATGATAATTACCACCACCAACATCACCATCAAATACTGTAATATCATCACGGCCGTCACGACGACCACCAACATCACCGTCACTGTATTATCGTCAACACCATCACCACAAACCATCAATGCCATGATTAGAACTCACCTCACTGCTACTGTTTGCACCATCACCACCAACACCATTACTGCCATTATAACAAAATACTGTAAATACCATCACCATCGTCTTCACTTAGTACTATTACCATCACCATTGCCATCAAATACCATCATCATGAAGCTCAGCAGGGTGGAGCCTGGATGGGTTGACCAGCACCAGGGCTTGCCAGGTGCTGTAGGTGAGGGTGGATTTCCTCCAGGTTCATCACTTTTCTCCCACATGCAGCCATGCTCTCATTAACTATGGAATTCACTGCCAAACATCCCAATGTAGCAGGACCCTTCTGATAAAAAGGTTGGCCCGGGTAAATAAATGGCATGTTAACAATCATCATCATAACACCATCACCACTTCTCTATGAGCCATCCCAGAACCAAGTAGAATTGAGCTGGAGTCATCCGAGGTCACCAGAGGTCAACCAGGGTCACCCGGGTTCATCACAGCCCGATGTACGCAGTCACCCACTGTGTCACCAGGCGGGGACGTCGGGGGGGGGGGGGATACAAGGGGAGAGATTTGAGGAGCAGAGACATCAGAGGATGGGGAGAAGGGATAGTCGGGATAAAATTGGGGGGTGGGGGAGGATGGGAATGGGGCATAAGGGGATGTGGGAGCAGGAACAAGATGATGCGAGAAGAAGGACGAACGTTGGTGGATGGTATGTGGGTTGACGTGCAGATGAATGGGTGGAAGGAGTGATGTGGGGATGCGTGGATGGATGGTGGAAAGTTTAATGGAGTGATATATGCAGCGGTGACGTGTGGATGAAGTGTGCAGAGCGATGGGTGGAGTGGAATGTCGAAGGGGTGACATGAGGGTGGAGCGATGATGACAGGAGAAGACTATCTTCTTGGCCTCACCTCGTCAAACTCGGGAAGTGCCTCCCCCGTTCTCTCCTTCTCCACCTCGTAAACACCTGGGCGGGATGGGGGAGAGGGGGCACAAGTCATGTGACCCAACGCTGATGATGGATTGATGTTTTCATTTCGTTACGGTTGCTGATGGTTGATGGTTGACGAGCGTCCATGGTTATGAAGATCCACGGTGGTGGTGGGTTTTTGACGATGGCCTTGGTCATGGTGCTGTCGATGGTGGCTATAAAAACGATGATGTTGGTGACTCTAAACGATTAGTTGTATGCATCTCATCGTCGTCGCTCACGCAAATTGAATCCCACGATTGATGTGGAACCACAAACGAGCGGTTAAAACAGCAACCAGGCATCGAGCTGGGACTGCCAACAATTGCCCAAGTTCTGTGGTCCTCTATTAAAAAAATGCAGCCAATTAATGAGTGTTAACGCATACTAATAGTAGTGATGATCATGATGATGTTAATAATTATGATATTGATGATTATAACCACGATGTTGTTGATGATGGTCATGATGATGATGCTGATTATGATAATGCTAATGGTGATGTTGATGCTGGCTATCGTGATGATGTACGTATGTTGCACTTCTTTCGCATCGTACGTAACCAACCGTGCTCATCGTCAGTGCGGGGGAAGGACAATAAACTAAAGACATAAAAACAGTTCTAAAGTAATGAGTTTTCAATGTAGATTTGAAAGTGCACAGCTCCAGTGGCTTCCTATTATTGGAAGGAAGAGCGTTCCAGATGGCCGAAGAAGCGCATCTGAAAGCGCGTAATGCGCTTTTGGTTAGCCAAAAGTCACTGCGCGGATGACCGGAGTTTGCATAATGGCTTTTGCTCCTCGATGATGATAATAACCATAATGGTGATGTCGGTGGTGGCTATTGTGACGACGATGTTGACGATGATAACCATGATGGCGATGTTGACGATGGTGGTGATGATCGATGATTTGCCGGGACGGCGATGGGCCTCACTGAAGAGGTTCTGCAGGCGACACACGCAGCTGACGAAGGCGCTCAGGCTCAGGCTGGAGTCGGCGCTCGCGAAACGCGTCCACGCGCGCTCGTACACGGCCATGCGCAGCTTCACACCTGCGGGGTCACGCCACACACGGCTCAAGGTCAGCACGCGACCTACGATCCCCCACCCCAAAGTTGCTATTTATTGATATTTGCCAGATAATGGAATTTTGATTTTTTATTAAAGCAGGCCCCATAGAAAAAGCTTCACATTTAAGGACTCCCCCCCCCCCCCCCCGGGAAATGTCTCAATTTAATTCTGGGTTATTGCCACCCATGCCACTATCGCTTCCTTCCTTCTGCCAGGTCCCACAGCTGTTGTATAGTCGGCACCTGAGATCCAATGTCTGCTCTCATGGTCTCATCACCACCATCACCACCGCCGCCGTCACCATCGTCTGCTCTTAGGTGGTGTGGTGTATCGTGGTGTATTGTGGTGTGCTGTATCGCAGTGTGGTGTGGTGTATCGCAGTGTGGTGTGTCGTGGTGTATTGTGGTGTATCGCAGTGTGGTGTGTCGTGGTGTATTGTGGCGTGCTGTATTGTGGTGTATTGTGGTGTGGTGTATCGTAGTGTATTGTGGTGTATTGTGGCGTGCTGTATTGTGGTGTATCGCAGTGTATTGTGGTGTGCTGTATTGTGGTGTATTGTGGTGTATTGTGGTGTGCTGTATTGTGGTGTATCGCAGTGTGGTGTATCGTGGTGTATTGCGGTGTGCTGTATTGTGGTGTATTGTGGTGTATTGTGGTGTATCGTGGTGTATTGTGGTGTATCGCAGTGTGGTGTATTGTGGTGTATCGTGGTGTATTGTGGTGTATCGCAGTGTGGTGTATTGTGGTGTATCGTGGTGTATTGTGGTGTATCGCAGTGTGGTGTATTGTGGTGTATTGTGGTGTGCTGTATTGTGGTGTATCGCAGTGTGGTGTATTGTGGTGTGGTGTATTGTGGTGTATCGCAGTGTGGTGTATCGTGGTGTATTGTGGTGTGCTGTATTGTGGTGTATCGCAGTGTGGTGTATTGTGGTGTATTGTGGTGTGCTGTATTGTGGTGTATCGCAGTGTGGTGTATCGTGGTGTATTGTGGTGTGCTGTATTGTGGTGTATCGCAGTGTGGTGTATCGTGGTGTATTGTGGTGTGCTGTATTGTGGTGTATTGTGGTGTGGTGTATCGTGGTGTATTGTGGTGTATTGTGGTGTATCGCAGTGTGGTGTATCGTGGTGTATCGTGGTGTGCTGTATTGTGGTGTGCTGTATTGTGGTGTGCTGTATTGTGGTGTATTGTGGTGTATCGCAGTGTGGTGTATTGTGGTGTATCGTGGTGTATTGTGGTGTGCTGTATTGTGGTGTATCGCAGTGTGGTGTATGGTGGTGTATTGTGGTGTGCTGTATTGTGGTGTGCTGTATTGTGGTGTATCGCAGTGTGGTGTATGGTGGTGTATTGTGGTGTGCTGTATTGTGGTGTATCGCAGTGTGGTGTATGGTGGTGTATCGTGGTGTATCGTGGTGTGCTGTATTGTGGTGTGCTGTATTGTGGTGTATCGCAGTGTGCTGTATTGTGGTGTATCGTGGTGTATCGCAGTGTGCTGTATTGTGGTGTGCTGTATTGTGCTGTATTGTGGTGTATCGTGGTGTATCGTGCAGTGTACCACACTGGGCGAGCCCCTGTCCCAGCTCAAAGGTGCTCATGCCGCCCGAACCATCGCGGTCAAACTCTAGGAAGACAGCCTGGGGGGAGGGGGGGGGACGGTGGGGGGTGAGGAGGGAGTGGTGAGTGGTGAACTATAAGTGGTGAGGAGGGAGTGGTGAGGAGGTAGTGAGTGTTGCCTTCGTATATGTGTAAAATATAACGCACACATCAAGGTATTATTTGGAGTGGAGCGGTGGCACAGTGGTTAGTGGCGAGCAGTGATTGTGGGGTGGTGAGTGGGGAGTGATGAGCGGTGAGCAGTGAATGGTGAGCGGTACCTGTAATTTCTTCACGACGAGCATGAACCGGTGAGTTTCCTCCAGATTCAACTTCCTCAGAGACTTCTTCTTCTGTGGTGGTGAGCGGTGGTGAGCGCCAGTGTGGTTGTGTTGACGGTTTTGTGTGTGTGTGTGGTGAGTGGCGGTAGTGTGTGGTGAGTGCGTTCGTGGTTGTGTGTGTAGTGTGTTGGTTGTATGTGTACAGTGGGGTGGTGAGTTTGGTGGTGGTGAGTAGTTGATTGTAATTGTCAAAGTGAAAACTGGACATAACTGACCGCGACATCGACCCGTGACCTTCACCTTGACCCCGCATTAACAACCCCTGCCACGACCCCCCCCCTCCCCCCGCAGCTACATATCCACAGAATGTCGGGGTTGGTGGACCACGCAGAGATATCACCGTGAGCTGCGAGACTCCCAACCCCACTGGCAGTACAGCAAGTGGATCCGTGACACCATCTGTGTGGAACTCCGCGTGTTGCCCCCTCGCGCGCACGGTGAGCTTTCTGAGGGAGCCTCTCCGTACCCCTCAGCCCGCACGAATCCAAGCCCGTACTCAAAATCGTCATTGACCCATACGTCCCAATAATTCCCTCTTGCTTTTTTCTTTCTCAGGAACGCCTCACCGAGTCTCAAGACTCTCCTTCGGGAGGGTCCTGCCAAGCTCTTTCTGCAGCAGGGGGCGATGCTGTTGCTGCTGCTGCTGCTATGTGTGTGATCCTCGCTAACGGCACTTGCCCCAACAGTCTGCTAAGGCCATACAGGGTATATTTGCCTTTTAAGATCCAAAATTGAGTGATTTGCTAATAATGTTTCAGCATTGGGGATGTTGGGACAATATCAGTTACGTTGTGTGTGTTTGTTTTATTAGCAACTATGGAAGGAAACCACAGAGCTCAGAAGAAACCCAACGCAGAACAGAGGGCGGCCATAAAAAGTCTAAACAGACCGGTGCCAGAGTCGAGATTTCAACCCATGCCCTTCTTGCTGTGAGGCACGAGTGTAACCACTGCGCTGCCACCCCGCCACCCGTGTCCAGGCCTCTATCAATCCACTGCTGGATGAGGGAATCCCCACGCACCACGTCGCGCGATTCGTGGGTGTCGTCAAGCCCCGCCTCACCAGTCTGGCGAGTGCAGGTTGGCCAAGGTAGGGAGCACCAAATTGGGAGCATAGAAGTACAGCACAACAATGGATATTACTGCATTGCTCGCTTGAGCGCGCTGCCGTGATCTCCATTATACGAGTTTAAACAATAATGTTCATAACATTAATCATTAAAAGCAACATCGCCACATTCGAATCTCGACAGTTTGGGGGGGTGGGGGGGGGGGTTTGTGGGGGTGGGGGCAGTGAGGATACGCCGGGCTGGAAGGAGACCAGGCTGCGACACGCGTCGATGGAGAGGGCGCTCCGAGCAGGTAACCCTGCAGTGGAGGTGGGGGGGGCAGGGGGCCCAATTTTCTCAGGTCCGCGTTCGACCGCTCTGTGTCCTCCCCCGTGAACCTCGTGTCCACGTGCCCCCCCCCCCACAAGCCGTGTCCATCTGCCGCTGATGATGCCCCTGGTATCCCTGCGCCCACCCACCCCCTATTCCCCGTGTCTCCTACACCCCGTGCCCCCCACAAACCGGTTCTCATTGCACCCCATGCTCCCCACTCCCCACGCCGCTCACATTCCCATAGCCCCCCAGGCCCGCTATGCCCCATGGACCCCCATAACTCGTGACTTTTGCATGCCATGCTCCCAATATTCCCAATTCGTTCCATGCGTTTCCCCATGCACCACGTGCCCCCCAGTGTGCCGTCATCCCCTCCCCCCACTACCGCTGTGCCCCCCACTTACTTGAGTTGACGAGACGCGTGAACTCAGACAGGGAGATTCGTCCATCCTGTGGGGGGAAGGGAGTGACCCAGAGGCAGCAACAACAACATCAACAACACCAACCATATACACTACAACCATAGAAACCTCCACCACAACATCTCCCCCGTAAAGCTTTCGTGACTGCAGTGATTCATATTCTTGGCTCTTTCGGTAAAGTCACGTTGAAGGGAAACAATAAAATAATAAAATATATAAAAAACAATAAAAATTCTCACGTCGTGAGAATTTTATATATTTTATTATTTAATTGTTTCCCTTCAACGTGACTTTACCGAAAGAGCTAAGAATATCTCCCCCATAGCTACAGAGCCACCACCTCCTCCTCCAAGACAACCACCACCTCCACAATCACCACAATCACCACCACAACCATCACCAAGACTATCACCACGAGAACCATCTACAATATCATCATGTCCAACTATCACCACCACAACCACCATCTCCTGCACCACCACCATAGCCACCAATAATGTCAACATTACCACTACAAACTCCACCACTACCCCCACTACCACCACTATGATCACCACTACACCTACCATTAGCTGCTTCGTGCATTTACGTCTTAATTTTACGGCTCTTACAGTGTGGAAGTTGTTGTGGTTGTGTTGATGTGTGGTTGTTTGGCAGTGGCTGTGGTGTGGTGGTTGTCTGGTGATGTGGTGGTTGTGTGGTTGTTTGGTAGTGATGGTTGGGGTTGTTGTTACTCTGCCCGCCAGCTTCTGAAACTCGGCATCATCCAGCTCGGGTTCAGTGGGGGCAGGAGCGGCGAACACAATCTAAACAACAACAACATAAACAAAATAAACAACGACAACAAACAACATAAACAAAAAACTATATCAGATAAACAAGAGTAGCCAAATGTCTGCAACTACTTGTGGTCGTGGTTGTTGTTGGTTTCTGTTGTGGTCATGGTCGTGACTGGCGGTGGTTGTTGTGGTGATGACTATGGTTGTGGTTTTGTGGTGGTGGTGGCTGTGATTGTTGTAGTTTAGTGGTGGTTTCTTGTGGTGGTTGTTGGTTGTGGTAATGATAGCGGTGGCTGTGGTGGTGACTATGGTTGTGGTTTTGTGGTGGTGGTGGTGGCTGTGATTGTTGTGGTTTAGTGGTGGCGGCTGTGATTGTTGTGGTTTAGTGGTGGTTGTTGGTTGTGATTATGATAGCAGTGGCTGTAGTGTTGACTATGGTTGTGGTTTAGTGGTGGTTGCTGAGCTGTTGACTATAGTTGTGGTTTAGTCGTGGTGGTGACAATGGTTGTGGTGTAGTGGTGTTGGTGACTATGGTTGTAGTGTAGTGGTGGTGGTGACTATGGTTGTAGTTAGTGGTGGTGGTGACTATGGTTGTGGTTTAGTAGTGGTGTTGGTGACTATGGTTGTAGTGTAGTGGTGATGGTGACTATGGTTGTAGTGTAGTGGTGGTGGTGACTATGGTTGTAGTGTAGTGGTGGTGGTGACTATAGTTGTAGTGTAGTGGTGGTGGTGACTATGGTTGTAGTGTAGTGGTGGTGGTGACTATGGTTGTAGTGTAGTGGTGGTGGCGACTATGGTTGTAGTGTAGTGGTGGTGACTATGGTTGTAGTGTAGTGGTGGTGGTGACTATGGTTGTGGTGTAGTGGTGGTGGTGACTATGGTTGTAGTGTAGTGGTGATGGTGACTATGGTTATAGTGTAGTGGTGACTATGGTTGTAGTGCAGTGGTGGTGGTGACTATGGTTGTAGTGTAGTGGTGGTGGTGACTATGGTTGTAGTGTAGTGGTGGTGGTGACTATGGTTGTAGTGTAGTGGTGGTGGTGACTATGGTTGTAGTGTAGTGGTGGTGGTGACTATGGTTGTAGTGTAGTGGTGGTGGTGACTATGGTTGCAGTGTAGTGTAGTGGTGGTGACTATGGTTGTAGTGCAGTGGTGGTGGTGACTATGGTTGTAGTGTAGTGGTGGTGACTATGGTTGTAGTGTAGTGGTAGTGGTGACTATGGTTGTGGTGTAGTGGTGGTGGTGACTATGGTTGTAGTGCAGTGGTGGTGGTGACTATGGTTTTAGTGTAGTGGTGGTGGTGACTATGGTTGTAGTGTAGTGGTGGTGGTGACTATGGTTGTAGTGCAGTGGTGGTGGTGACTATGGTTGTAGTGTAGTGTAGTGGTGGTGACTATGGTTGTAGTGTAGTGGTAGTGGTGACTATGGTTGTGGTGTAGTGGTGGTGGTGACTATGGTTGTAGTGCAGTGGTGGTGGTGAATATGGTTGCAGTGTAGTGGTGGTGGTGACTATGGTTGTAGTGTAGTGGTGATGGTGACTATGGTTGTAGTGCAGTGGTGGTGGTGACTATGGTTGTAGTGCAGTGGTGGTGGTGACTATGGTTGTAGTGTAGTGGTGGTGGTGACTATGGTTGTAGTGTAGTGGTGGTGACTATGGTTGTGGTGTAGTGGTGGTGGTGACTATTGTTGTAGTGCAGTGGTGGTGGTGACTATGGTTGTAGTGCAGTGGTGGTGGTGACTATGGTTGTAGTGCAGTGGTGGTGGTGACTATGGTTGTAGTGTAGTGGTGGTGGTGACTATGGTTGTAGTGCAGTGGTGGTGGTGACTATGGTTGTAGTGTAGTGGTGGTGGTGACTATGGTTGTAGTGGTAGTGGTGACTATGGTTGCAGTGTAGTGTAGTGGTGGTGACTATGGTTGTAGTGCAGTGGTGGTGGTGACTATGGTTGTAGTGTAGTGGTGATGGTGACTAGGGTTGTAGTGTAGTGGTGGTGGTGACTATGGTTGTAGTGTAGTGGTGGTGGTGACTATGGTTGTAGTGTAGTGGTGATGGTGACTATGGTTGCAGTGTAGTGTAGTGGTGGTGACTATGGTTGTGGTGTAGTGGTGGTGGTCCGTCGGCACTCACACTTCCGTTAAACTCGCACTTCAGTGGCTCGGCTTTCCTGAGGGGAGGGGAGGGGTGAGAGTGTGGTGGTGGTGGTGGTGAGGAGGAGGTGAGGGTACCAGGAGCGGTGTCGCAGTGGTTAGCGCACTGCGCGGCGAACCCGGCGACCCGAGTTCCATTCCCGCTCACAATCAGTAACGAACATCTGAACTAGCCCTGGGCCTCCCCTAGGTCGACTCTGCCTTAAACGAGTAAGTACCTGGTGCGATGTGTAAACATCGACACTGGTGGGGTGGCACAGGTGGCGCGGGCGTGGTTCCGGCCACCCACCCCCCTCGTGTGCCATGCCGGCCTTCGTGGGTGCTACTCGCTGACAGCGCTCACCCCAACAGGCTGTCCAAACTGTGAAAGGCTGCGCGCGGGGGGAACTTTTCCTTCGTACCGGGAGCGGTTCTCCTGCTTGGCATAGACGCGCACGAAGAAGTCGCCCTCCACGTCGGGCTCGTAGGTGGAGGGGACGACCACGTAGTCGCCCAGGGGCAGGCGGGCACGCACACTCACCTGCAATACAAGGGGGGGGGGGGGGTGTCCCAGCCGTCTGGGTGTTCTTCTGTGCCCTGTGTCCCCCGTGTCCCTCGTGTGTCCTGCGTCCCCATGTCCCCGTGTCCTCGTGGTCGACGTGTTCCCATGCGCCCCTGTCCCCACGTCTCCCGTGCCCCCCGTGTCACCTGTCTCCCTGTGTTCCACGTCCCCCATGCCCCCCCTCCCCTCTTGTCCCGCGTCCCCCCTGCCCTTGTGCTGAATGTCCCCCGTGTCCCGCGTGATCCCATGACCTCCGACCTCGCGGGCGTTGGAGAACCCCGGCGTCTCCTCGACGGGCCGCGCCATCACGAAGAACGAGGACGGGAGGGGGTCCTTCTGCTTGCGGAACTACACACAAGGGGGGGGGGGGCAGGGGTCACGTGGGCGCGCCCCCCCCCCTCCCCGCCCCGATGCCAGCAATCGCCCCCTGCTCGTAGCCACTGACCCAGAGATGGGACAGAGAGAGTGGCTCCAGACCACAGCCCCCTGATGATCATTATGATGCTGCTGCTGCAAGCAGTGATGATTGTGTGTGTGTGCATCGATGATTACAATTATATTATTTCGCATGATGGCAATACGTTCATGGGCAAAATGCCAATGTCCAGGTCTGGTGGCCAAGACGAAAGGGCTGGAGGAGCTGGAGATGGTCTCGTTTTGCTGTTCCTCCTACATTGGAGGACAGACTGCAGTGGTTTACCATGTGGTCCATAGTTTGGGTTGCATGGCCAAAATCACACGAATGTGCTTTGTTATCAATGCATCTCTGTGGGTCTCCAAGAGTCTCCGTGTGTCTCTATGTGTCTCTGTGCCTCTGTGTTTTATTTGTCTGTATCTCGATATGTCTATATGCATCTCTATGCATATCTATGCATCTCTATGCATCTTTGTGTGTCCGTATGGGTTTAATATGTGGTGTATAGTTTGGTTTGTATGGCCACAATCGCGCTACTGTGGCTTGTCTTTAATTTTGAACGTGTGAAACTGATGTGCAAATCAGCTACTGATGTTCTAATTCGGTTGATGGTGATATAGATTGATGATGCTGCATTTTTTGACGATGCTGATGATGATGATGGCGGTGGTGGTGACGAATGGCCCCAGTACTCGCTGCACCCTGCACACACCTTTTCTGGCACCTGTGCAGACACAGACACAGACAACACTTCAATTAAAACCAGGCCCTCCTCACAGCATCCACACGTCCCTCGTATTGTACCATACTAATTCTGCCACATCGGGTAAAAGTAAATAATTCATTTATTATAATTATTATTACTACTGCTACAGTATTCCGCTTGCATACCCAAGAAAGCCTCACAGAGTCTCAAGACTCCTTGTTCAGGAGGGTCCTGCCAAGTTTTGCAGTAGGGGGGCGATGCTGCTGCTGATGCTGCTGCTGTGTGATCACTGGGTTGACAAAGGTGGCCGAGCGTGGTGCTGGCCACCCTCGCGTGCTATGCCGGCCTGCATAGGTGCCCGCTAACAGCACTTGCCTCAAAAGTATGTAAAGGCTATACGGGGGATCTTTGTCTTTGAGATGACAATTGAGTGATCTGCAGGTACATTTTTCAGCATTGGGATGTTTTGGCCAATCCCAGTTACAATTAATGGAAACCCATGCAGAACAATGGGGAGACATGCAAAACGCCACGCAGACAGACGCCCTAATCGGGGATCGAACCCAGGCCCTTCTTGCCGCGAGGCACGAGCGTCACCGCCGCGCTGCACACCGCCTCGCCGTCTCCGACGCGGTCACCGTGACCTTCGCGAGGCCACCGTGACCCCGGCGAGGTCACTCACCGGGTAGACGGCGAATCCGATGTAGAGGAAGTCGGGGGTCCCCTTCCCGTTGGACGCCGGCGGCCCCCCCCTGCGGTTCTTCTGCATGAGGGCCAGGACCACGGTGCAGTGGGTGGCCGCTCCTCCTCGGTGGGCCACCCCTGGCCCTCCTCCTTGGGACCCCCCCTCCTCGTCCCCAGCACGTAGACTCAGGCGGAACTGGGGGTTCGTCCAGAACGAGACTGTGGGGTCGCGAGAGGGGTGGGGGGGGGGGTGCAGGGGGAATGTCAATAGTCCTGAAATATCCCACAACTATCCTGTACATGTGGATTTGGAAATCCACTGCTGGATGACAGCCTCTAGCACATTGCAGGTTAGGGAATGGGGGGGGCGGTTATTTGGTCATACTTCACCACGACGCTGGTCAGCACGGGTTGGTTAAATGCGGCGAGCATAGACGTGTGGGCATAGAAGCATGGTACAGCAGTATAATTTCTTGCAATTCCCACAACGTTAGTGGGCAGTCGCCCTTCCAAGCACTATCCAGGCTCGACAGCCTGCTGAGCTTCTGAAATCTCGAGAGATGAGGGCGTGTCCTGGGAGAGCGTTTTGTCATTGCTAGCTCATCCGAAACCAGGGCCAAACGATTTCTGACTCATTCTGCGATCATTCCCTCGTCACTCACAAGCCACGGGTAAATGCAGCGCTTCATCTCTCGCCAAGCAGTCTTCCAGGTTGCTGGTAGATGAGAGCACGTGGCACCGAGGCTTGTGGTAGCCACAGCACATAGCGAGAGAGCAAGGTATACTGGATGTGGCGTGCAGTGCGTGGGGATATTTTCTGGGCCACCAACCGACACAAACCCCGGCCCAAATAAAATCCTGGGTAAATAGATTCGCGAATAATTTATAATAATAATAATAATAACATGATGTTAATTTGCCATTTGCACCATTCTTAACTCAATTTAGGACTGCACACGGCTGCAATCATGACCCCGCTACTGGCAGACTGATGCCCACTTGCAGGCCAGGTGCTGCGAGTCGCTTTGCGGCGCACAGGGACAGCTGCCACCGGGGGTGCCCCTCGAATGTTTGTGGATGAGATGTGACGTCAGGTGGTATTGAGCTGCTCATGTAGCTAAGTAAGCGCCATCGGAGTGCACATGTTATTAAGATTATCATCATATAATTATCAGCGAGGGTACTACGTTCATGCATTGTAAGATTTACAAAACATTCCCGGATCATTCCCAGGAGTCACCTTTGTATTTCCTGCAGCCGCCAGCGGAACAGCCGGGGATCCAGCGTCCGTCGTGAGTGGTGAGGACCCACGAGGGTGGCGTTGGGGTTCCCGGGGCCCCCTCGGTCGAGTCGGCCCCCTCCGTCTCCTCGGGGTTGAAGCTGCAGATCTCGATGGTGCTGAAGAAGTTCGTGAATTCCTCCACTGACATCCTGGCCGGAAGACGGCGCCATCGACACGAAAGTGGGTGGGTGGCTCGGTGGGTGGGTGGGTGAGAAAATTGGTAGCTGGGTGGGTGGGGGGTGAGTGAATGGATGAATACGTAAGGGAGTCGGTGGGTAAGTGGATAAGTGGTGGGCGAGGGAGTTATTGAGTGTGTGAGTGATGATGATGATGCCGGTGTTGATGATTTCACCAGAATTCTCCGTCCTCTGACTTCTTGAGCTTGAGTCGCTGTTGCTCCTGTGGCTCCACCGAGTCCCACTCAGTGGCCCTGGTGGTGCACGCCACACATACCACGCCGGTACAACAACAACAACAACCGCCATTCGCCACTAAGTGGCGGTGACGTCACCACGACGCTTGTGCCAGGCTATGTGCACCCTGAGGCCACGTGAAGTGTCGAACGCCCGCTGGCAGGAGGTCACGGGGCAGACCCAGGTGCCACGGGTCGACTGACTGAGATGACTGGCTGATGCACCACCTGTGCCCCCTACTGTGCCAACCTGCTGTGCTTTAGCCACCCGGCGCTCCGCTCGCTGTTGTGAGCGTCGCTCCTCCGCCCTCCGTTGTTGTTGGAGGGCGACTGCCTCCAACTGCCCAGTAGCATCCTTCACGAGCCTCCTCCACAGAGGCCGATCTTGACACCGCTGGTACCAGTCATCGGCAAGTCCACTCAGCTCCACGTCCTCCTGTACCACATCACTCCATCTCTTCTCTAGCCCGTGCCGCGCCCGCTTAGCCCCCTCAATCCGGCCAAACAAAAGCTGTTTCGGCATGCGGTGGCTGGGCATGCGGGCTACATGACCCAGCCATCGCAGCATTGCCTGCCGGAGGAGCTCACCGATGGGACCCTGCCCAGATCTTTCAAGGATTTGTGAGCTCCTCACACAATCCAGTCTGGTTAAACCCAGGATGGATCGTAGGCAGGTCAGCCTAAATGTTTCTAACCGGCGAAGATGTTCCATTAGGGGGGTCCACGTTTCGCAAGCGTAGAGAAGGGAGGGAATGACCGTGGCCGAGAAGACCTGAAGCTTAGTGCGGAGCGACAGACCAGGTAGCTTCCACACAGCGTTACGCAACCGATGAAAAGATATTGCCGCTCGACTGATTCGGAGTGAGACCTCTGCTGTTAAACTGGAGCCAGTCATAAGCACACTGCCCAGGTATGGGAAACTCTCCACTCTCTCCACAACTGCCCCATCACCGATTGGGAGTTGTGGGGGTGGAGTGTCCGATGGTACAAAATACCCAGGCAGGTGCTTAGTTTTGGTGGGGCTGATGGTAAGGCCCCACCTCTTAGTGGCACGCTCCAGTCTCAGCAGCAGCGTCTCCAACTCCTCCTCTGACTGAGCAGCTATTACCAAGTCATCAGCATACATAACGTGGTTGAGCAATAGGGAGCCATCCCTTGACCGCACCCGGGCATCGATTAGCCTCCCATTATATCTGTACCATATGGAGATTCCCCCGGTACAGCTATTGAAGGCTTCACGAACTACGTGGTCAAAATAGATGTTAAATAATGTGGGAGCCAGAGGACATCCCTGTCGCACCCCAAGGTGTACAGGGAATGGCTCTGACTCCCGGCCACGTAGTTTTACCCGGGCCCGCTCACCATCATGAAGGTCCTTAATGATCGTGAGCAGAGGGTCAGGTACTCCAAAAGCACGAAGAACGACCCAGAGCCCAGGCCTACTGATGGTATCATAGGCCTTGACCAGGTCAATAAAGCAGAGATGTAGGTCTTGTTGGAATTCCCTACACCTCTGCTGTAGCAGACGGACAGAAAATATGGCATCTGTGCAGGACCGCCCTTTCCTGAAACCGCATTGGGGCTCCGCAAGCCTCTCCTCAGCGTGCCTGGCAAGGCGATGCTGAATAATCCTTGCCAGGACCTTTCCCGGCACACTGAGGAGTGAGATGCCCCTGTAGTTGTTACAGTCTGTGCGGTCCCCCTTCTTAAAAAGGGGGACCACCAGGGCATCCTTCCAATCCTGCGGAACCCGTCCAGTGGTCCAGACTGTTGTTATGATGTCATATAGGGCAGTCTGTGCACAAACGCCACCCTCCCTCAGCATTTCGCTTGGGAGATCATCTCTGCCCGCTGCCTTTCCTGGTCTCAGACTCCGTATCGCCTTCAATACTTCCTCAGCAGATGGCACCTCAGCCAGCCACTCACAGGGGGTGACTTCATCCAATATTTGAGGCACCGCAGCCTCAGCAGGGTCATCCTCACTTTGTGCCACGATGTTTTCCTGGCTGTGGGATTTTCCCTCCCCCAGGACCTCACAGAAATGCTCAGCAAATCTGCGAACCTGTTCCTGGGGGTCGGAAATTGGATCACCGTTTTTTCCCCTAATGATGGTAATAGGTGTGGCGCTGCAGGTTACTTTTTTGATGGAGTTAAATAGCGATTTGTGATCACGGGCCACTGAGGCAGACTCCATCTCCTCAGCAACCCGCGACCACCACCCATCCTTGCAGCGCCTCACGGCTCTCCGAACCTCCGAGCGAAGGCTGCGGTAAGCCTCCTCATTCTCTGACGTGGGATTCTGTAGCCGATGACAGTGGGCCTGTCGCTTTTTCTCAACCATCCTGAACAACTCCTCTGTCATCCAGGGTGTCTGGGGAGGTCTGGACCGCGTACCCAAAGCAGCCATTGCAGCTGCATGAGTCACAGTCCTAAACCTCGCCCATTTACCCTCGACATCAGGAGGAGTCGGGGACGATGCCAATCCCAGCCGCAAGCGATGATGAAATTCTCGCTTGCAACTTTCATCAGATAACTGAGACCAGGCCACTTTAGGTTGGAATGGGGTCCTGGGTGTACACCCACCACCGGAGTGGAAGAATGGCAGGCGCATCTTACAGATGACTAGTCGATGGTCAGAGGGCAGATCAGCTCCACGGTAGGTCCTGGTGTCAAGGACATGGGCTCGCATTCGCTGGTCCGTCACTATGTAGTCCAGCAGATGTTCTTGCTTGGACCCGGCATGCATCCATGATGTTGTGTGGATGCGCCGATGCCGGAACAGCGTGTTGGTAATTACAAGCCCATGGGCTGCACAAAAATCTAGCAGCCTCCTACCGTTGTTATTGAGCTGATCTGGCCCATGCCCTCCAATCACTCCAGACCAGGTGCCAGTATCATGACCAACTCGGGCATTGAAGTCACCCAACATGATGACTCTATCCCGAGGGGCCACTTTAGCCAGCACCTGTGACAGGAGGTCATAGAAGGCATCTGACTCATCGGCTTTGCCTGCATCCCTCCACGGATGTTCATCTTCGGTGGGGGCATAAGTAACCACGACCACCATTCCTCGCCTCCGGTTGATGGGAAGGCGAGCCCAAAGTAGCCTGGGGCTTACAGCTTCCCACACCTCACCGCCACGCTCCCACGCCCCCTTCATTCTTTTGTTCAAAAGAAGACCCACACCCTGTTGTTTGGCAGTCTGCTGCCCCGAGTAGAGGACTGTCCACCCCTCATGGTGGCAGGAGCCAGAGCCGGTCCACCGGACCTCCTGAATGCCGCATAGATCCATGCGGTACCGGTCCAGCTCCCGACAGAGGAGTGGCAGCCTCTCCTCTGCAGTGAGCGTTCGAACATTCCACGTGGCCACCCGTAGTGGCTTTTCGTTGTTTCTGGAGTAGCCCCGAGGGTAGGTATTCAATCTCCTGGCTCCGCCAATTGGGGTTTGGCCAGGAGACGTCATAGACGCCTGGCCCCCCGGGGCCTCCGGCACAAGCTTAGTTGTTACATATTTCACTTTAATTCGTGGTTTTGTGGTAATTAATTGAAGGTGGAGGGGTTACCAGCCCCTCGCACCCGTCCAGAGCCCCCGTTTAGCCCCTGTGGTGGACACATATGCCATGAGGGGAGGAGCCAATCAAAATTGGAACTCCCCCCACAGCACTGTCCACGACAGAGTTGCCCGTCCGGCACCGCGAGGAGGTAGGGGGTTGTTTTGCCGGTACACCACATGCACCACACACAACGACAACCGCCGTTCGGTACGAAGTGGTGGTGAGGCCACCACGGCGCTTGTGCCATGCTCGGTGCACTTTGAGGCCACGTGAAGTGTTGAAGGGTCACTGGCAGGAGATCACGGAACAGACCCAGGTGCCATGGGTTAACTGACTGAGATAACTAACAGAACCTCCCTACTGTGCAAACTTTCTGTGTTTTAGCCACCCGTTGCTCTGCTGGTTGTTGTGAGCATCACTTCTCTGCCGGAGGGCGACTGCCTCCAACTGCACAGTGGCGTCCTTCATGAACCTCCTCCACAGAGGCCGATCTTGACACCGCTGGTACCAGCCATCAACAAGTCCACTCCCCAACCCCCCGTACCACATAAGTCCATCTCTTCTCTAGCCCGTGCCATGCCAGGTTAGCCCCCTCTATCCGGTCAAACAGAAATCTGCTTGGGCATGCGGTGGCTGGGCATGCGGACTACATGACCCGGCTAACGCAGCCTTGCCTGCCGGAGGCACTCCCTGATGGTACTGCGTCAGGATCTGTGAGCTCGTCGCACAATCCAGTTTTGTTAAACCCAAGATGGATAGTAGACATTGGGGGGAAGTAGAGGGGAGATGAAAAGATGGACAGATAACGAGAGGGAGGGAGGGAGGGATGGATGGAGGGGGATCAGTACTTGTCGCTCCAGGCCCCCGTATACTCCTGGCGACCCCACGGGTTTCGCAGGCGAACCAGGCGCACGGATCCCCCCTGAGTAGAGACCTGGGGTGGCGGGGAGGTGGGGGAGCATCTTGTTCACACACCACGGAGTGGCTCGGCGTTTCCATGCATCGTGTTTGTGGCGAGTACGGAGTAGGTGTGTTCCGTGTCCCCGTGTCCCCAGTGTCCCCGTGTCTCTGTGTCTCCGAACCGTCTCCATGGCGTGTATAGAGTACGCATGTTCACGTATCTCCATGCCCCCGTGTCCACATGGTCCCCGTGTCTTCGTCCCGCGTCCATTGCGAGTACGGAGTACGCGTGTCCACGTACCTCCGTGTCCCCGTGTCGATGTGCCCCCAAGTCCCCGTGCCCCCGTGTCCACGTGGTCCCCGTGCCTCCGTACCTTGTCCATGGCGAGTATGGAGTACGCGTGTCCACGTACCTCCGTGTCCCCGTGTCGATGTGCCCCCAAGTCCCCGTGCCCCCGTGTCCACGTGGTCCCCGTGTCTCCGTACCTTGTCCATGGCGAGTATGGAGTACGCGTGTCCCAGCACGAGCCCGCACTCGTTCACGCGACCCACCTCCGCGGGACTCGCTACCTGCGTGGAGACACGACACACGCGTGTGTCACGTGTGTGTGTGCGTGTGCGTGTGGGGAGCGGTGGTGTAGTGGTTAGCGCACTGCGCTACGAACCCGGTGACCCGAGTTAGATTCCCGCTCACGGCCAACACCAGTGACGATTATCTGAACCGTTTCTGGGCCTCCCCTAGGTCTCTCTCTCTATGCCTCTCTCTTAGATCTCTCGTGCTCACGTGTCCTTGGGATTGCACTCTCATGCCTTTGCATTGCACTCTCATGCTCACATGTCCTTAGGATTGTACTCTCGTGCTTTTTGATTGCACTCTCTTTTGCCTCGAGGAGGCTGCTCTTCGATCTTACATTAACATCACGCTAATCTCTCACATTAACATAGCCACTTCCGTGCCCTCTAATTTCTCACATTAACATCATGCTAATCTCTCACATTAACATAGTCACTTCCGTGCCCTCTAATTTATCAAATTAACATCATGTTAATCTCTCACATTAACATAGCCACTTCCGTGCCCTTTAATTTCTCACATTAACATCATGCTAATCTCTCACATTAACATAGCCACTTCCATGCCCTCTAATTTCTCACATTAACATCATGCTAATCTCTCACATTAACATAGCCACTTCCATGCCCTCTAATTTCTCACATTAACATCATGCTAATCTCTCACATTAACATAGCCACTTCCATGCCCTCTAATTTCTCACATTAACATCATGCTAATCTCTCACATTAGCGTAGCCACTCCCGTGCCCTCGTCGAGGAGGCCGCTTTCCTATCTTACAGTTATATGCTAATTTCTCACATTAACATAACTAGCCCCGCCCACTTCTTTATGACCCTTGGGCTACACCCATTTCAAACCCTTTAAAAACAGTCTGCCTCAGCAGCAGACCATGCTTTCCCACCTGATGACGGACGCTTGTGTTGCGCCCGAAACGTCGTAATTTATTTTATACCTACGTGACTTTAGTCTCGAAAGCTTCAAATCAAGATTGTACGTATCACCTTAATAAAGCCGGCGAGCAGGGCATTGCCGGCCAGAGCAGAGGTGACGCAGAGCCAGAGTTTGGGGGTCGCAGGGTCGGAGCGGTACGACTCTCCCACGCCGCCCGTGAAGTCCTCCATGGCCTCCAGAATCTTCCCGGCCTTGAGCGCCGCATATGAGCCATTCAGCCTGGCACATAACACACACGGTGATACACACACACACACACGGTGATACACACACACACGGTGATACACACACACACACACGGTGATACACACACACACACGGTGATACACACACACACACACACGGTGATACACACACACACACGGTGATACACACACACACACGGTGATACAAAGACAAAGATCCCCCGTATAGCCTTAACAGCCTGTAGGGGCAAGTGCTATTAGCGAGCATCTATAAAGGCCGGAACGGCACACGAAGGGGTGTGGGGTCAGCACCACGCCCGACCGCCTTTGTCTCCCTAGTGGCGATGTTTACACACCGCACCAGGTACTCATTTGAGGATGAGTCGACCTAGGGGAGGCCGGGGACAGGTTCAGATAATAGTCACTGGTGTTGGCCGTGAGCGGGAATCGAACCCGGGTATCCAGGCTCATAGCACAGCGCGCTAACCGCTACACTACCGCTCCCCTTACACATACATACACACACGATGATACACACACACGCAGTGATACACACACACACGCAGTGATACACACACACACACACGGTGATACGTACACACACACGGTGATACACACAAACACGGTGATACACACACACACGGTGATACATACACACACGGTGATACACACACACGCAGTGATACACACACACACGGTGATACATACACACACGATGATACGTACACACAAACACGGTGATACACACAACAACAACAACCGCCATTCACCACTAAGTGGCGGTGACGTCACCACGACGCTTGTGCCAGGCTATGTGCACCCTGAGGCCACGTGAAGTGTCGAACGCCTGCTGGCAGGAGGTCACGGGGCAGACCCAGGTGCCACGGGTCGACTGACTGAGATGACTGGCTGATGCACCACCTGTGCCCCCTACTGTGCCAACCTGCTGTGCTTTAGCCACCCGGCGCTACGCTCGTTGTTGTGAGCGTCGCTCCTCCGCCCTCCGTTGTTGTTGGAGGGCGACTGCCTCCAACTGCCCAGTAGCGTCCTTCACGAGCCTCCTCCACAGAGGCCGATGTTGACACTGCTGGTACCAGTCATCGGCAAGTCCACTCAGCTACACGTCCTCTTGTACCACATCACTCCATCTCCTCTCTAGCCCGTGCCGCGCCCGTTTAGCCCCCTCAATCCGACCGAAAAAAGGCTGTTTCGGCATGCGGTGGCTGGGCATGCGGGCTACATGACCCAGCCATCGCAGCCTTGCCCGCCGGAGGAGCTCACCGATGGGACGTTGCCCAGATCTTTCAAGGATTTGTGAGCTCCTCACACAATCCAGTCTGGTTAAACCCAGGATGGATCGTAGGCAGGCCAGCCTAAATGCTTCTAACCGGCGAAGATGTTCCATTAGGGGGGTCCACGTTTCGCAAGCGTAGAGAAGGGAGGGAATGACCGTGGCCAAGAAGACCTGAAGCTTAGTGCGGAGCGACAGACCAGGTAGCTTCCACACAGCGTTGCGCAACCGATGAAAAGATATTGCCGCTCGGCTGATTCGGAGTGAGACCTCTGCTGTTAAACTGGAGCCGGTCATAAGCACACTGCCCAGGTATGGGAAACTCTCCACTCGCTCCACAACTGCCCCATCACCGATTGGGAGTTGTGGGGGTGGAGTGTCCGATGGTACAAAATACCCAGGCAGGTGCTTAGTTTTGGTGGGGCTGATGGTAAGGCCCCACCTCTTAGTGGCACGCTCCAGTCTCAGCAGCAGCGTCTCCAACTCCTCCTCTGAATGAGCAGCTATTACCAAATCATCAGCATACATAACGTGGTTGAGCAATAGGGAGCCATCCCTTGACCCCACCCGGACATCGATCAGCCTCCCATTATATCTGTACCATATGGAGATTCCCCCGGTACAGCTATTGAAGGCTTCACGAACTACGTGGTCAAAATAGATGTTAAATAATGTGGGAGCCAGAGGACATCCCTGTCGCACCCCAAGGTGTACAGGGAATGGCTCTGACTCCCGGCCACGTAGTTTTACCCATGCCCGCTCACCATCATGAAGGTCTTAATGATCGTAAGCAGAGGGTCAGGTACTCCAAAAGCACGAAGAACAACCCAGAGCTCAGGCCTACTGATGGTATCATAGGCCTTGACCAGGTCAATAAAGCAGATATGTAGGTCTTGTTGGAAGTCCCTACACCTCTGCTGTAGCAGACGGACAGAAAATATGGCATCTGTGCAGGACCGCCCATTCCTGAAACCGCATTGGGGCTCCGCAAGCCTCTCCTCAGCGTGCCTGGCAAGGCGATGCTGAATAATCCATGCCAGGACCTTTCCCGGCACACTGAGGAGTGAGATGCCCCTGTAGTTGTTACAGTCTGTGCGGTCCCCCTTCTTAAAAAGGGGGACCACCAGGGCATCCTTCCAATCCTGCGGAACCCGTCCAGTGGTCCAGACTGTTGTAATGATGTCATATAGGGCAGTCTGTGCACAAACGCCACTCTCCCTCAGCATTTCGCTTGGGAGATCATCTCTGCCCACTGCCTTTCCTGGTTGCAGACTCCGGATCGCCTTCAGTACTTCCTCAACAGATGGCACCTCAGCCAGCCACTCACAGGGGGTGACTTCTTCCAATATTTGAGGCACCGCAGCCTCAGCAGGGTCATCCTCACTTTGTGCCACGATGTTTTCCTGGCTGAGGGATTTTCCCTCCCCCTGGACCTCACAGAAATGCTCAGCAAATCTGCAAACCTGTTCCTGGGGGTCGGAAATTGGATCACCGTTTTTTCCCCTAATGATGGTAATAGGTGTGGCACTGTAGATTACTTTTTGATGGAGTTAAATAGAGATTTGTGATCACGGGCCACTGAGGCAGACTGCATCTCCTCAGCAACCCGCGACCACCACCCATCCTTGCAGCACCTCACGGCTCTCCGAACCTCCGAGCGAAGTCTGCGGTAAGCCTCCTCATTCTCTGACGTGGGATTCTGTAGCCGATGACAGTGGGCCTGTCGCTTTTTCTCAACCATCCTGAACACCTCCTCTGTCAGCCAGGGTCTCTGGGGAGGTCTGGACCGCGTACCCAAAGCAGCCATTGCAGCTGCATGAGTCACAGTCCTAAACCTCGCCCATTTACCCTCGACATCAGGAGGAGTCGAGGACGATGCCAATCCCAGCCGCAAGCGATGATGAAATTCTCGCTTGCAACTTTCATTAGATAACTGAGACCAGGCCACTTTAGGTTGGAATGGGGTCCTGGGTGTACACCCACCACCGGAGTGGAAGAATGGCAGGCGCATCTTACAGATGACTAGTCGATGGTCAGAGGGCAGATCAGCTCCATGGTAGGTCCTGGTGTCAAGGACATGGGCTCGCATCCGCTGGTCCGTCACTATGTAGTCCAGCAGATGTTCTTGCTTGGACCTGGCATGCATCCATGATGTTGTGTGGATGCGCCGATGCCGGAACAGCGTGTTGGTAATTACAAGCCCATGGGCTGCACAAAAATCTAGCAGCCTCCTACCATTGTTATTGAGCTGATCTGGCCCATGCCCTCCAATCACTCCAGACCAGGTGCCAGCATCATGACCAACTCGGGCATTGAAGTCACCCAACATGATGACTCTATCCCGAGGGGCCACTTTAGCCAGCACCTGTGACAGGAGGTCATAGAAGGCATCTGACTCATCGGCTTTGCCTGCATCCCTCCACGGATGTTCATCTTGGGTGGGGGCATAAGTAACCACGACCACCATTCCTCGCCTCCGGTTGATGGGAAGGCGAGCCCAAAGTAGCCTGGGGCTTACAGCTTCCCACACCTCACCGCCACGCTCCCACGCCCCCTTCATTTTTTTGTTCAAAAGAAGAGCCACACCCTCTTGTTTGGCAGTCTGCTGCCCCGAGTAGAGGACTGTCCACCCCTCATGGTGGCAGGAGCCAGAACCGGTCCACCGGACTTCCTGAATGCCACATAGAACCAGGTGGTACCGGTCCAGCTCCTGACAGAGGAGTGGCAGCCTCTCCTCCGCAGTGAGCGTTCGAACATTCCACGTGGCCACCCGTAGTGGTTTTTCGTTGTTTCTGGAGGAGCCCCGAGGGTAGATATTCAATCTCCTGGCTCCGCCAATTGGGGTTTGGCCAGGAGACGTCATAGACGCCTGGCCCCCCGGGGCCTCCGGCACAAGCTTATTAGTTATATACTTAATTCGCGGTTTAGTGGTAATTAATTGAAGGTGGAGGGGTTACCAGCCCCTCGCACCCGTCCAGAGCCCCCATTTAGCCCCTGTGGTGGACACAGATGCCATGAGGGGAGGAGCCAATCGAAATTGGACCTCCCCCCACAGCACTGTCCACGACAGAGTTGCCCGTCCGGCACCGCGAGGAGGTAGGGGGTGATACATACACGGTGATACACACACGGTGATACACACACAGTGATACACACACACACACCCGGTGATACACACACACAAACGGTGATACACACACACACACACGGTGATACATACACACACGGTGATACACACACACGGTGATACACACACACAACAACAACAACTGCCATTCACCACTAAGTGGCGGTGACGTCATCACGACGCTTGTGAAGGGCTATGTGCACCCTGAGGCCACGTGAAGTGTCGAACGCCCGCTGGCAGGAGGTCACGGGGCAGACCCAGGTTCCACGGGTCGACTGACTGAGATGACTGGTTGATGCACCACCTATGCCCCCTACTGTGCCAACCTGCTGTGCTTTAGCCACCCGGCGCTCCGCTCGTTGTTGTGAGCGTTGCTCCTCCGCCCTCCGTTGTTGTTGGAGGGCGACTGCCTCCAACTGCCCAGTAGCGTCCTGCACGAGCCTCCTCCACAGAGGCCGATCTTGACACCGCTGGTACCAGTCATCGGCAAGTCCACTCAGCTCCACGTCCTCCTGTACCACATCACTCCATCTCTTCTCTAGCCCGTGCCGCGCCCGTTTAGCCCCCTCAATCCGGCCGAACAAAAGGTGTTTCGGCATGCGGTGGCTGGGCATGC